ACTCCAACACGTGGCGGCTGAGATGGGGGGCAATGAGTATGGCCACCCCAGCTCGCCGCCTCTCCCCGCGGGAAACACCAGAAAAGTGGAGCGTCCAACCCCTCTCAAGGAGTTGGGTTCCAGAGCCCACTCTCTCCTCTCTACTCTCCCTCCTCTCTCTCCTCTCTCCCTCCTTTCTCTCCTCTATCTCTCCTCTCCCTCCTCTCTCTCCTCCTCTCTCTCTCCTCTCCCTCCTCTCTCTCCTCTATCTCTCCTCTCTCTCCTCTCTACTCTCCCTCCTCTCTCTCCTCTATCTCTCCTCTCCCTCCTCTATCTCTCCTCTCCCTCCTCTATCTCTCCTCTCCCTCCTCTCTCTCCTCCTCCTCCCTCCTCTCTCTCTCCTCTCCCTCCTTTCTCTCCTCTCTCCCTCCTTTCTCTCCTCTCTCTCCTCTCTACTCTCCCTCCTCTCTCTCCTCTCCTCTCTCTCTCCTCTCCCTCCTCTCTCTCTCCTCTCCCTCCTCTCTCTCCTCCTCTCTCTCCTCTCTCTCTCCTCTCCCTCCTCTCTCTCCCCCTCTCTCTCCTCTCACTCTCCTCTCCCTCCTCTCTCTCCTCCTCTCTCTCTACTCTCTCTCCTCTATACTCTCCCTCCTCTCTCTCCTCCTCTCTCTCTCCTCTCCCTCCTCTCTCTCCTCTATCTCTCCTCTCTACTCTCCCTCCTCTCTCTCCTCTATCTCTCCTCTCCCTCCTCTATCTCTCCTCTCCCTCCTCTATCTCTCCTCTCCCTCCTCTATCTCTCCTCTCCCTCCTCTCTCTCCTCCTCCTCCCTCCTCTCTCTCCTCTCCCTCCTTTCTCTCCTCTCTCCCTCCTTTCTCTCCTCCTCTCTCTCTCTCTCTACTCTCCCTCCTCTCTCTCCTCTCCTCTCTCTCTCCTCTCCCTCCTCTCTCTCTCCTCTCCCTCCTCTCTCTCCTCCTCTCTCTCCTCTCTCTCTCCTCTCCCTCCTCTCTCTCCTCTATCTCTCCTCTCCCTCCTCTCTCTCTCATCTCCCTCCTCTCTCTCCTCTATCTCTCCTCTCCCTCCTCTCTCTCCTCCTCTCTCTCCTCTCTCTCCTCTCTCTCTCCTCTCCCTCCTCTCTCTCCTCCTCTCTCTCCTCTATCTCTCCTCTCCCTCCTCTCTCTCCTCCTCTCTCTCCTCTCCCTCCTCTCTCTCTCCTCTCCCTCCTCTCTCCTCCTCTCTCTCCTCTCTCTCTCCTCTCCCTCCTCTCTCTCCTCCTCTCTCTCCTCTCTCTCTCCTCTCCCTCCTCTCTCTCCTCCTCTCTCTCTACTCTCTCTCCTCTATACTCTCCCTCCTCTCTCTCCTCTATCTCTCCTCTCCCTCCTCTCTCTCTCATCTCCCTCCTCTCTCTCCTCTCCCTCCTCTCTCTCTCCCTCTCCCTCCTCTCTCTCCTCCTCTCTCCTCCAACCTCCTCTCTCCTCTCCCTCTCTCTCCTCCTCTCTCTCTCCTCTCCCTCCTTTCTCTCCTCTCTCTCCTCTCTCTCTCCTCTCCCTCCTCTCTCTCCTATCTCTCCAATCCCTCCTCTCCCTCCTTTCTCTCCTCTCTCTCCTATCTCTCCAATCCCTCCTCTCTCTCCTCTATCTCTCCTCTCTCTCTCCTCTCCCTCCTCTCTCTCTCCTCTCCCTCCTCTCTCTCTCCTCTCTCCTCCTCTCTCTCCTCCTCTCTCTCCTCTCCCTCCTTTCTCTCCCTCCTTTCTCTCCTCTCTCTCCTCTCTCTCCTATCTCTCCAATCCCTCCTCTCCCTCCTTTCTCTCCTCTCTCTCCTATCTCTCCAATCCCTCCTCTCTCTCTCCTCTCCCTCCTCTCTCTCTCCTCTCCCTCCTCTCTCTCTCCTCCTCTCTCTCCTCCTCTCTCTCCTCTCCCTCCTTTCTCTCCTCCTCTCTCTCCTCCTCTCTCTCCTCTCCCTCCTTTCTCTCCTCTCTCTCCTATCTCTCCAATCCCTCCTCTCTCCTCTCTCTTCTCATGCAGCTAAAATCTGTCTTCCTGAAAATGTGAGACAGGCTTCTTCTCTGACAATGTTCAGATCCAGGTTAACAACAGTTGAACTGTTCAGTTCAGATGTTCTGTTCTCTCCACGCGGTGATGACAGAAGCGAGACGCCAAACTGCACTGGACACTGGACCATCAAAGCCTCTGACCAAACACCATTCATTCAGTCTCTCATTACAGTCAGACCTAGAGTGCATGTTTTTAGTGGTATGGGAAACTGGAGCACCTGGAGGAAACCTACACAGACACGAGGAGAACATGCAAACCCCACACAGAAAGGTGGAATCGAACCCAGGACCCTCTTGTGGTGAGGCTTAAGCTCTAACCGCTGCACCATCGGGACGCCCGGAGAATAAATGATACATCGTTCTTTGCGAGATAAATATTTGTATAAAAATATAATGTGAATAAATCAGACCAAAACGTTCTTCTTTCTATTGTTCTCTGCTTCTCTATTTCTCATTTTTCTGTCTGAAAAAGCAGATGTGAAAATCAGTTCGGATTCGTTCTTTTAATTACACTGTTACTTTTCTGTGGTTTGAAAGTCACGCACCCTAGCTTTAAACCACGTATTACAGTTCGCGTCTATGGAGAGGCGAGCCTGGTCATCCAAACTGAGGCCGTAGCGTCTCCATGGCAACAAACAGGATGTATTTAGACAAAAGTTACATACAGCTGCTTTAAATATCAATATCGTTGTTTTCCTTCAATGTTAATGTCCTGTATTGTTTTTGTAAATTAAAGTGTGTTCTTCATGAGTTTTTATTTTATTTTAGGCTGCCCACGCGCACGAGACCACCGATGAAAATTGGCTTAAATTAGCGTTAACTCGGGCACATTTACATCTATTTATTAATGTGCAGTGTCCCGTTTCAAATAAATAAATAAAATTAATGTAAAGTACTGCACCACGATCTGCTCTGTAAACCAGCCTTCTTCATTTGATTCATACATGTTTTATTTATTTATTTATTTTTTATTTTCTTTGTGATGTCTTTCTTATCTGTACGTCGTGTCTGTAATACAATATAATAATAATAATAATAATAATAGTAGTAATGATAATAATGCATGCAGTTACCTTTGAAGAAATTAATCCCAAAACGTCCTATATTGACTTGGTCCAAATCCAGCCGGTTCCTGGACGCGTCTCTTTGCTCTGCGGGGTCCTGCGTCAGCTCTGGCCGTCTCTGGCGCGCTGTCCCCGGGGTAAACTGTCCACTGCGGTCCGCTGTGGTGGAGCTGGAGGAACAGCCTCTCACAGAGTCATGGGACCGCGTTTTAAGGCTCTCTGTCGGCGATGTCCGTACCACCGCTGCGCCTGGAGCTCGGCGCTGCGAGGACCAGGCGCAGCGCAGGGCAAGGCACGTCACCGCCCCGCACCTGACCCAGCAGCACCCCACCCCCCCCCATCCCCCTGTCTGTCTGTCAATGCATCTGTCTGTCTGTCTGTCTGTCAATGCATCTGTCTGTCTGTCTGTCTGTCAATGCATCTGTCTGTCTGTCTGTCAATGCATCTGTCTGTCTGTCTGTCTGTCTGTCTGTCTGTCTGTCAATGCATCTGTCTGTCTGTCAATGCATCTGTCTGTCTGTCTGTCAATGCATCTGTCTGTCTGTCTGTCTGTCAATGCATCTGTCTGTCTGTCTGTCAATGCATCTGTCTGTCTGTCTGTCTGTCAATGCATCTGTCTGTCTGTCAATGCATCTGTCTGTCTGTCTGTCTGTCAATGCATCTGTCTGTCTGTCTGTCTGTCTGTCTGTCTGTCTGTCTGTCAATGCATCTGTCTGTCTGTCTGTCAATGCATCTGTCTGTCTGTCTGTCTGTCTGTCTGTCTATGTATCTGTCTGCCTGTGTGTGTGTGTGTGTGTGCCTGTGTGTGTTTGTCTGTGTGTATATATGTGTCTGTCTGTATCTGCCTGTCCTGTCTGTCTGTCTGTCTGTCTGTATATGTATCAGTTTGTCTGTTTATTTAGACTAATTTAGGGTATGTTTCTTATACTTTTTCTCACGTCAGTGCCCTGCACCTGCCCCAGCATCAATCACATTTATTTACAGAGCACAGTTCAGTGTAGTATCCCACACCATAGTACTAATTTCATTTCATACTAAGGTCTGGATTTGCTCCATTGACTCCGTGAACAGGTGGGAGGGGTTAACTCCTTTTGCAGATTGAAACGATTGGATCTGAGTTTACTGTGACGTATGTAGTGAGCCCGAGTCCGTTGTTAGCATTAGCATTTAGCCTAGCTTTAGCCATCTCCTTTGCCGCTAACGGAGCCCGTGGGGAGTAGCGCCACCATTTTTTTCCAGCGATTACATTTGCTAAACTTTCCTCTTGCTCCTGCTTCAATTTCTTCATAGAACCAGACCGGATTACTTTACTATCACATTTTTCGCTATTACCAAACTACAACCTGCCCGTTCGACGCAAACTCTTGACGTCACCCACATCTAACTACAACACCCGCCTCCCGCGCTCTCTGATTGGTCGGTCGAAATTCAATTGATTGTAATCGCAAACACAGGGACTAGACCCAGACGTTACATGCAGTGAGATGATGATTGAGCGGAGAGTACGGATGGATAAGGCAGGCTAAGTTCAGTATAACCCAAAGTGCTTCACAGAAATGTAACAAACTCAAAAACCAGGACACTTTCTATACATGGACTTGGCTTCCCACAAATGTCTCTCTACATTGTTCTTACATCATATTTGTTGCTGTATTTCTGTTATTGATTATCGATTATGTCTTCCTGGTTCATGTAGATACAGTATTTTTACTCTGTGTACTTTTTAGCTTGTTTGTTCCCATACATGTCTGCTGCACTGGGGACTCTTGCACAAGTATTCCAATGTGGTTTTACTGCAAATGGCAAATCAACTGGATCTGAATCTTTTGTTATGATTTTGAATGTGTATTATGTGTTTCCTGCAGGGGTCATGTGTGGCAGTCCTGGGTCATGTGTGGCGGCTGTGGGTCATGTGTGGCGGTCCTCGGTCATGTGTGGTGGTCCTGGGTCATGTGTGGTGGTCCTGGGTCATGTGTGGCGGTCCTCGGTCATGTGTGGCGGTCCTGGGTCATGTGTGGCGGCTGTGGGTCATGTGTGGCGGTCCTCGGTCATGTGTGGTGGTCCTGGGTCATGTGTGGTGGTCCTGGGTCACGTGTGGCGGGCTGTGGGTCATGTGTGGCGGTCCTGGGTCATGTGTGGCGGTTGTGGGTCATGTGTGGTGGTCCTGGGTCATGTGTGGCGGTCGTGGGTCATGTGTGGTGGTCCTGGTCATGTGTGGCAGTCGTGGGTCATGTGTGGCAGTTGTGGGTCATGTGTGGTGGTCCTGGTCATGTGTGGTGGTCCTGGTCATGTGTGGCGGTCCTGGTCATGTGTGGCGGTCGTGGGTTGTGGGTCATGTGTGGCGGTCGTGGGTCATGTGTGGCGGTCGTGGGTCACGTGTGGAGGTCCTGGGTCATGTGTGGAGGTCCTGGATCACGTGTGGCGGTCCTAGGTCATGTGTGGCGGTCCTGGGTCATGTGTGGCGGTTGTGGGTCATGTGTGGTGGTCCTGGGTCATGTGTGGCGGTTGTGGGTCATGTGTGGCGGTCGTGGGTCATGTGTGGCGGTCCTCGGTCATGTGTGGTGGTCCTGGGTCATGTGTGGTGGTCCTGGGTCATGTGTGGCGGTCCTCGGTCATGTGTGGCGGTCCTGGGTCATGTGTGGCGGCTGTGGGTCATGTGTGGCGGTCCTCGGTCATGTGTGGTGGTCCTGGGTCATGTGTGGTGGTCCTGGGTCACGTGTGGCGGCTGTGGGTCATGTGTGGCGGTCCTGGGTCATGTGTGGCGGTTGTGGGTCATGTGTGGTGGTCCTGGGTCATGTGTGGCGGTCGTGGGTCATGTGTGGTGGTCCTGGTCATGTGTGGCAGTCGTGGGTCATGTGTGGCAGTTGTGGGTCATGTGTGGTGGTCCTGGTCATGTGTGGTGGTCCTGGTCATGTGTGGCGGTCCTGGTCATGTGTGGCGGTCGTGGGTTGTGGGTCATGTGTGGCGGTCGTGGGTCATGTGTGGCGGTCGTGGGTCACGTGTGGAGGTCCTGGGTCATGTGTGGAGGTCCTGGATCACGTGTGGCGGTCCTAGGTCATGTGTGGCGGTCCTGGGTCATGTGTGGCGGTTGTGGGTCATGTGTGGTGGTCCTGGGTCATGTGTGGCGGTTGTGGGTCATGTGTGGCGGTCGTGGGTCATGTGTGGCGGTCCTGGGTCATGTGTGGCGGTTGTGGGTCATGTGTGGTGGTCCTGGGTCATGTGTGGCGGTTGTGGGTCATGTGTGGCGGTCGTGGGTCATGTGTGGCGGTCCTGGGTCATGTGTGGCGGTCGTGGGTCATGTGTGGTGGTCCTGGTCATGTGTGGCAGTCGTGGGTCATGTGTGGTGGTCCTGGTCATGTGTGGCAGTCGTGGGTCATGTGTGGTGGTCCTGGGTCATGTGTGGCGGTTGTGGGTCATGTGTGGCGGTCGTGGGTCATGTGTGGCGGTCCTGGGTCATGTGTGGCGGTTGTGGGTCATGTGTGGTGGTCCTGGGTCATGTGTGGCGGTTGTGGGTCATGTGTGGTGGTCCTGGTCATGTGTGGTGGTCCTGGTCATGTGTGGCGGTCCTGGTCATGTGTGGCGGTCGTGGGTTGTGGGTCATGTGTGGCGGTCGTGGGTCATGTGTGGCGGTCGTGGGTCACGTGTGGAGGTCCTGGGTCATGTGTGGAGGTCCTGGATCACGTGTGGCGGTCCTAGGTCATGTGTGGCGGTCCTGGGTCATGTGTGGCGGTTGTGGGTCATGTGTGGTGGTCCTGGGTCATGTGTGGCGGTTGTGGGTCATGTGTGGCGGTCGTGGGTCATGTGTGGCGGTCCTCGGTCATGTGTGGTGGTCCTGGGTCATGTGTGGTGGTCCTGGGTCATGTGTGGCGGTCCTCGGTCATGTGTGGCGGTCCTGGGTCATGTGTGGCGGCTGTGGGTCATGTGTGGCGGTCCTCGGTCATGTGTGGTGGTCCTGGGTCATGTGTGGTGGTCCTGGGTCACGTGTGGCGGCTGTGGGTCATGTGTGGCGGTCCTGGGTCATGTGTGGCGGTTGTGGGTCATGTGTGGTGGTCCTGGGTCATGTGTGGCGGTCGTGGGTCATGTGTGGTGGTCCTGGTCATGTGTGGCAGTCGTGGGTCATGTGTGGCAGTTGTGGGTCATGTGTGGTGGTCCTGGTCATGTGTGGTGGTCCTGGTCATGTGTGGCGGTCCTGGTCATGTGTGGCGGTCGTGGGTTGTGGGTCATGTGTGGCGGTCGTGGGTCATGTGTGGCGGTCGTGGGTCACGTGTGGAGGTCCTGGGTCATGTGTGGAGGTCCTGGATCACGTGTGGCGGTCCTAGGTCATGTGTGGCGGTCCTGGGTCATGTGTGGCGGTTGTGGGTCATGTGTGGTGGTCCTGGGTCATGTGTGGCGGTTGTGGGTCATGTGTGGCGGTCGTGGGTCATGTGTGGCGGTCCTGGGTCATGTGTGGCGGTTGTGGGTCATGTGTGGTGGTCCTGGGTCATGTGTGGCGGTTGTGGGTCATGTGTGGCGGTCGTGGGTCATGTGTGGCGGTCCTGGGTCATGTGTGGCGGTCGTGGGTCATGTGTGGTGGTCCTGGTCATGTGTGGCAGTCGTGGGTCATGTGTGGTGGTCCTGGTCATGTGTGGCAGTCGTGGGTCATGTGTGGTGGTCCTGGGTCATGTGTGGCGGTTGTGGGTCATGTGTGGCGGTCGTGGGTCATGTGTGGCGGTCCTGGGTCATGTGTGGCGGTTGTGGGTCATGTGTGGTGGTCCTGGGTCATGTGTGGCGGTTGTGGGTCATGTGTGGTGGTCCTGGTCATGTGTGGTGGTCCTGGTCATGTGTGGCGGTCCTGGTCATGTGTGGCGGTCGTGGGTTGTGGGTCATGTGTGGCGGTCGTGGGTCATGTGTGGTGGTCCTGGGTCATGTGTGGCGGTCGTGGGTCATGTGTGGTGGTCCTGGGTCATGTGTGGCGGTCGTGGGTCATGTGTGGCGGTCCTGGTCATGTGTGGCGGTCGTGGGTTGTGGGTCATGTGTGGTGGTCCTGGTCATGTGTGGCGGTTGTGGGTCATGTGTGGTGGTCCTGGGTCATGTGTGGCGGTTGTGGGTCATGTGTGGCGGTCGTGGGTCATGTGTGGCGGTCCTGGGTCATGTGTGGCGGTTGTGGGTCATGTGTGGTGGTCCTGGGTCATGTGTGGCGGTTGTGGGTCATGTGTGGCGGTCGTGGGTCATGTGTGGCGGTCCTGGGTCATGTGTGGCGGTCGTGGGTCATGTGTGGTGGTCCTGGTCATGTGTGGCAGTCGTGGGTCATGTGTGGTGGTCCTGGTCATGTGTGGTGGTCCTGGTCATGTGTGGCGGTCCTGGTCATGTGTGGCGGTCGTGGGTTGTGGGTCATGTGTGGCGGTCGTGGGTCATGTGTGGCGGTCCTGGTCATGTGTGGCGGTCGTGGGTTGTGGGTCATGTGTGGCGGTCCTGGGTTATGTGTGGCGGTCGTGGGTCATGTGTGGAGGTCGTGGGTCATGTGTGGCGGTCCTGGGTCATGTGTGGCGGTCGTGGGTCATGTGTGGCGGTCCTGGGTTATGTGTGGCGGTCGTGGGTCATGTGTGGAGGTCGTGGGGTCATGTGTGGCGGTCCTGGGTCATGTGTGGCGGTCCTGGGTCATGTGTGGCGGTCCTGGGTCATGTGTGGCGGTCCTCGGTCATGTGTGGCGGTTCTGGGTCATGTGTGGTGGTCCTGGGTCATGTGTGGCGGCTGTGGGTCATGTGTGGCGGTCCTGGGTCATGTGTGGCGGTTGTGGGTCATGTGTGGCGGTCCTGGGTCATGTGTGGTGGTCGTGGGTCACGTGTGGCGGTCCTGGGTCATGTGTGGCGGTCCTGGGTCATGTGTGGCGGTTCTGGGTCATGTGTGGTGGTCCTGGGTCATGTGTGGCGGTCGTGGGTCATGTGTGGCGGTCGTGGGTCATTTGTGGCGGTCGTGGGTCATGTGTGGCGGTCCTGGATCACGTGTGGCGGTCCTAGGTCATGTGTGGCGGTCGTGGTCGTGGGGTTCCCAGGAGCGTGTGGGGGATTAGAGGCAGTGGAGGGGGGCCGGAGGGGGGCAGCAGAGGGATCCGCCCGGTACAGACCTGGGATTAGAGCCTGGAGCTGGCACTGCTCAGGGCCGACAGGATCCACGGAGCCCCAGCCATAGCCTCACTCTGGTCTCACTCTGGTCTCTCTCTGGTCTCTCTCTCTGGTCTCTCTCTCTGGTCTCTCTCTGGTCTCTCTCTGGTCTCTCTCTCTGGTCTCTCTCTGGTCTCTCTCTGGTCTCTCTCTGGTCTCTCTCTGGTCTCTCTCTGGTCTCTCTCTGGTCTCTCTCAGGTCTCTCTTTGGTCTATCTCAGGTCTCTCTCTGGTCTCTCTCTGGTCTCTCTCAGGTCTCTTTCTGGTCTCTCTCTGGTCTCTCTCTGGTCTCTCTCAGGTCTCTCTCTCTGGTCTCTCTCTCTGGTCTCTCTCAGGTCTCTCTCTGGTCTCTCTCAGGTCTCTCTCTCTGGTCTCTCTCTCTGGTCTCTCTCTCTGGTCTCTCTCTGGTCTCTCTCAGGTCTCTCTCTCTGGTCTCTCTCAGGTCTCTCTCTCTGGTCTCTCTCTCTGGTCTCTCTCTCTGGTCTCTCTCTCTGGTCTCTCTCTGGTCTCTCTCTGGTCTCTCTCTCTGGTCTCTCTCTCTGGTCTCTCTCTCTGGTCTCTCTCTCTGGTCTCTCTCAGGTCTCTCTCTCTGGTCTCTCTCTCTGCTCTCTCTCACAGTCTCAGACAACTGTGAAGTGAAAGTGAAATGATTCTGTTTTTTGTTAAAAAATGAAAATGTGCTAAAGTTGCAGGTGTGTGAATACTTTTGAGAGGCGGTGTCTGTGGGTCGGCTCTATCAGACTGTACAACGAACACTCCCTCTCTCACAGTAGTTTGAAATGAGACAAGGCTACAGCAGATTTTTGAATACATTTCTATATTTTTTTACTTACACACAATGTTGTTTTTTTGATGTCACAGTTAAAAAAATATCTTTCATGGAATTAAATAACTTAAATAAGCATCAATAATGTTTTATATTTTTAATTATCTGAAGTAAAGAAACCATTTAACCCTTTACACACTGTAAACAAGCTGCATTTTTAATCCTTCCTCCAGAGCAGAGTTCAAACACCAGGGGGCAGCATGGACCAGGACTGAGGCTGTAGACCCAGGACTGAGGCTGTAGACCCAGGACTGAGGCTGTAGACCCAGGACTGAGGCTGTAGACCCAGGACTGAGGCTGTAGACCCAGGACTGAGGCTGTAGACCCAGGACTGAGGTTGTAGACCCAGGACTGAGGCGGTAGACCCAGGACTGAGGCGGTAGACCCAGGACTGAGGCTGTAGACCCAGGACTGAGGCGGTAGACCCAGGACTGAGGCTGTAGACCCAGGACTGAGGCTGTAGATCCAGGACTGAGGCTGTAGACCCAGGACTGAGGCTGTATATTCAGGACTGAGGCTGTAGACCCAGGACTGAGGCTGTAGATCCAGGACTGAGGCTGTAGACCCAGGACTGAGGCTGTAGATCCAGGACTGAGGCTGTAGATCCAGGACTGAGGCTGTAGACCCAGGACTGAGGCTGTAGACCCAGGACTGAGGCTGTAGACCCAGGACTGAGGCTGTAGACCCAGGACTGAGACTGTAGACCCAGGACTGAGGCTGTAGACCCAGGACTGAGGCTGTAGACCCAGGACTGAGGCTGTAGACCCAGGACTGAGGCTGTAGATCGACTCATGATTCTTGTTGAGTTGATTTTTGGTCGAAATAAAGGAGAAAATCAAAGTCTGTAATTAAAGAAAACCGCTGGATTCTTTCTCTGAACCCGGAGCAGCAGTGACTCCTGCTCACGACGACAGAGAAAAGAGAATCAGAAATAGAAGGAAGAAAAAAAAAGACGGGGAATTTCTTGAACCGAAAACCTGAAAAAAAACGACTGTTCCGTTCACATGATTGTAAAGTTAATGAACAAAGGTCCGTGGAGCAAAAACAATGTTATAAAAGACCACGGTGTCCTGCCATCACGCTCTGTGCTCTGCCCCTTGCCTCACATCAAAGGCCCTGCAGGCTCCGCTCAGACCACAGAGATTCTGTTCAAACAAGCCAAAGGGTCTGAGTCGAGTTTGCATGTTCTGGTCTCTCTCTGGTCTCTCTCTGGTCTCTCTCTGGTCTCTCTCTGGTCTCTCTCTGGTCTCTCTCTCTGGTCTCTCTCTCTGGTCTCTCTCTGGTCTCTCTCTGGTCTCTCTCTGGTCTCTCTCTGGTCTCTCTCTGGTCTCTCTCTGGTCTCTCTCTGGTCTCTCTCTGGTCCTCTCTCTGGTCTCTCTCTGGTCTCTCTCTGGTCTCTCTCTGGTCTCTCTCTGGTCTCTCTCTGGTCTCTCTCTGGTCTCTCTCTGGTCTCTCTGGTCTCTCTCTGGTCTCTCTCTGGTCTCTCTCTGGTCTCTCTGGTCTCTCTGGTCTCTCTCTGGTCTCTCTCTGGTCTCTCTCTGGTCTCTCTCTGGTCTCTCTCTGGTCTCTCTTGGTCTCTCTGGTCTCTCTCTGGTCTCTCTCTGGTCTCTCTGGTCTCTCTCTGGTCTCTCTCTCTCTCTCTCTGGTCTCTCTCTGGTCTCTCTCTAAACCATGAAGACCATAAACACCATATTAATGTGACATAACATATTTTATTATTGAACATAATTATTGTGATTGCAGCAAAAGTCTCTGTATGAGTCTAAACAGATATGTAATATACAACAGGCAGAGACCAGAGGGAGACCAGAGGGAGACCAGGGAGAGAGAGAGACCAGAGAGAGACCAGAGGGAGACCAGGGAGAGAGAGAGACCAGAGAGAGACCAGAGAGAGAGACCAGAGAGAGAGAGACCAGAGAGAGACCAGAGAGAGACCAGAGAGAGACCAGAGAGAGACCAGAGAGAGAGACCAGAGAGAGACCAGAGAGAGACTAGAGAGAGACTAGAGAGAGAGACCAGAGAGAGACCAGAGAGAGACCAGAGAGAGAGACCAGAGAGAGACTAGAGAGAGACTAGAGAGAGAGGCTAGAGAGAGACTAGAGAGAGAGACCAGAGAGAGACCAGAGAGAGACCAGAGAGAGACTAGAGAGAGAGAGAGAGACCAGAGAGAGACCAGAGAGAGACCAGAGAGAGACCAGAGAGAGACCAGAGAGAGACCAGAGAGAGAGAGACTAGAGAGAGACAGAGAGAGAGAGAGAGACCAGAGAGAGACTAGAGAGAGAGACCAGAGAGAGACTAGAGAGAGAGGCTAGAGAGAGACCAGAGAGAGACTAGAGAGAGAGACAAGAGAGAGACCAGAGAGAGACTAGAGAGAGAGGCTAGAGAGAGACCAGAGAGAGACCAGAGAGAGACTAGAGAGAGAGACCAGAGAGAGACTAGAGAGAGACTAGAGAGAGAGGCTAGAGAGAGAGAGAGAGACCAGAGAGAGAGACCAGAGAGAGACCAGAGAGAGACCAGAGAGAGACCAGAGAGAGACCAGAGAGAGACCAGAGAGAGAGACCAGAGAGAGACCAGAGAGAGACCAGAGAGAGACCAGAGAGAGAGACCAGAGAGAGACTAGAGAGAGACTAGAGAGAGAGGCTAGAGAGAGACTAGAGAGAGAGACCAGAGAGAGAGACCAGAGAGAGACCAGAGAGAGACCAGAGAGAGAGACCAGAGAGAGGACAAAGATGAAAGAAACTGTCTCTACCACTCAGATATAAAACTCTTCTTCTTCTTCTTCTTCTACTTTATCGTCGTCGATGCTGTACGAGTCCGAGTGATTTATGGACAAACTGCTCGGGCTCGTGCTGGTCTCCAACAGCTCCAAACTACCACAACGTCCATTACTCACTCCCAGACTGTTGGACCTGCTCACTCCGGTCCTCCCCCCCATCGTGGCGGGTTTATACACGCCGCTAACATCGCTAATACTCGGCGATCTGGACGGGACGATTTCCTCCGGTGGCGCCGAGACCGGTCTGGACTTGAGGCTCAGACTTGCTTGGATGTAGGCCGAGACCACCGACAGATCCATGGATACTTTGTCACCGGTATCAACGTCCGTCTCCTCGGCTCCGACCAAGGCGTCTACGTTTAGGCGGAAAGGCGGGGCTTGGTCGACGGACGGCGTTTTGGGGTAATTTCTCGCGGAACAACGGCTAATGTTGGGGAGCGAGAACAGAGACCCGCAACGGTTCCAGTCCTGCGTGACAGTGACTTTGGACGTGAGTTCGGGGTCGGACCAGTCGAGGGTGGGGGGGAGGTAGTCGTAGGCCGAGGGGAGGGATGTTTGGGAGGATTGCAAGCGGCTGGAGTGGAAGGAGGCGGAGCGGTGTGGCCGTCTGCGCTGGTGCTGGTGGTGCCTGTAGGGGGCGCTGTGGCGGGCGCAGGTGGAGGGAGCGCAGGTGGGGTCGTGTTGGAGGAAGAAGGAGTCCGGATGTTGGAGGAGCGGAGTCTGGACCTGAGGAGGGAGGAAGGGGAGGTGTTAGTCTAGATGTTGCTGTGTGTGTGTGTATTCAAATAATTTTATCTATTTATTTAGTATTCATTCTGGAGACAACAATACAATCAGACTTTTCATATATTTCCCCTCCTCTCTTTCCCCCTACTCTCTTTCCCATCTCTCTTTCCCCTCTCTCTTTCCCTCTTCCTCCCCCTCCCCCCCTCACTCCCAACCCTATCCTTCCTCTCCCTAACCCTATCTACTTCCACCCCCCTACAAACACCCCATATCACACAACCCCTACTTACCTACCACTTACTCAACCCCTACCCCACTAACCCCCCCCCCCCCCTAATCCAACAACACAAATACTCATCACAATCCAAACCCACTAAACCCATCACCCCCCTTCACCCCAACTTAATTTTCACTCCCACACCCTACAAAATTTCCTATCACCCATAACCCTCCCATCCCCCTTCCATTCCCATCACCCACAACCAACCCACAAATAACACTACATCCCCTCACCCCTACCCAATTTCCAATTAACTTTAACAACACTCCTCCACCATACCTAAATATTCCCCCCCCAAACCACCAATCCCTAACATCCACCAACCAACCCCCCCCCCAACCCCCCCCCCCATACTCCCCCACCCATATCATCATACCCCACCATCCCCCCATCCCCCCATCCACCCTAAACCCACTCTACAATCCCCCCCACCCCCCCCCCCCCCACCACCCCCAAACCACCCCCACTTACTCAAACCCAACTCCTCAATCACCCCACCTTACACATACACCCCCCCCAACTACACCTCCATCTCCATACCCAACATCTCCCCATACCCCACTCCCCCCCCCCCATCCCCCCCCTATCACTATCCCCCAAACACCCTATTTTATCCTCTCCTATCCCAAAACATTAATAAACCCCTTCCCCCCCCCCCCCTATCCTTCCCATTAATCCTCCCCATTTCATCTTCACCTTTACCCCTACTTACCCCTCCCAACACCCTCCTCCTCCCCCCTTCCCTTAATATACCCCTCCCCCCCCCCCATTTACCTATTTATAACCCCCCATCATATCATAATTCACTACCTCCCCCCCACCAACCATACACTCCTACCCAACCATACCTCCTCATACCAATACACACCAACCCAACATACATCCTACCAAAAATTACAACTCCACATTCCCATACCCCCCACCCAATCAAAATACTCCAACAAAAAAATATACCCCTTCCACAATTACACCATTAACAACCAAATTATAAAAATTATAAACCCCTATTAAACAACAATTACAACAACTTCCACACAAATACCACACACATACAACACAACTACTCACACAATTAACAAAATTACACACAAATTAAACAATTAACCACCACAATTAAAATAAAACCAAAACTCCACTACCAAAAACCCCCCCCCCCCCCAACAACAAATCAACAACAACTCAAAAAAAAAAACCCCCCCACAACATAAATCAAAACACCAAAAAAACTATCCATATCCAAATTCCCTACCCCCCACCCAACCCATATCATCCTCCATACATCAATACATCCCCTCCCCATACCACACCCTCATACCAACCCACCCCTTATATTTTACACATTATCCTCCCCAATCTTTTCTTCCTATCCTCCATATATCCTCCCCGATCTTTCTCCCCATATTCCCTCTCCTCTCCTGATCATCATCTATTTTATTCCCCCTCCTTCCCCCAACACAATTTAATTCCCCCCCCCCCTAATCCCTCCCCTTTCCCTCTCCCTTAAACCCCCACTCCCCACCCCTCACAATTATCCCACACAACCACTAAAAATTCTAAAAAAACAACTAAAAACCCCCCAATTTAAACACAAACAAACAAACCCCCCCCCCCCCCCCCCCCCCATCATAACCCACAAAATTCAACAACCCCACCCCCCCCCCCCACAAAACCACCCCAAAAACCACCACCTATCCCACCCCAACCCCCCCCCACACATACACCCCTTACCACAACCACACAACCATTACCCACAACACACTAAATACCCACCTCCAACAACTCTCAACCACCCTCAACCCCCCCCCCACCCCCCATAACCCCCCCCCCCCCATCAACAACATCCACCAAACCTCAAACCCCTCAAAAATACCATATCATCATCCCACATCCATAATCCTCACTTCCCCACCCCACCCACATCCCATCACAACCCAACTCTCCCCTCTCCCCCACCCCCTTTACCCCAATACACACATCCCACACCCCATATCCCCCCCAATCCCAACCACCTACACATCTCTCCCCCCCTCACCACCCCCCTAACATCCCCCCCCCAATTCCCCACCCCAACACCCCCCCCCCCCCATATCCCCCCCCCCATTCACTACACCCTCCTTCCCTCTCCTCTCTCTCACCCCCCCCCCCCCTCCCTCTCTCTTCTATTTCTTCCCCACCTTTTCTCTCCTCTCTTCCCATATTTTTTCTCAACTCACTCTTCCTCTCTCTCCCCTCTATACACCCTCTTTCTTCCCTCTCTATCCCTATTTCACCATCATCTCCCTCACTCTCCCCTCTTCTCCCCCCCCTCTCTCACCTCTTCCCCTCTCTACCCCATCTCTCTACCCCCCCCTCAACACACCCCCCCCCCCCCCCCCCACCCCACCACTACAATCAAAAAACCCCTTTCAAAATTCAAAACCACACATAATCAACCCTTTTCCCCCCCCCCCCCCCTCCATTACTATCACTCACAAACCTATCTATCCCTAATAAACATCTCACTCTCTCTCAACTAAACCCCATCTCACACTATCACTCTACCATCTCTACTCTACACCACCCACTCTCTACCCAATACCTACCCCCCCACCCTTCTCCACTATCTCAAACCCCAAACTATACCTAACCCCCACCTCACCCCTCACCCCCTACCCCCATCTCATATCCTTACCATCCCCCCCCCTAGTATCAATACCCCCCCCCATTCAAAACAATACCCACCCCAACCCACCCACCATATCACCCCCCCCCCCCCCCCCATCCACCCCTAACCCCAAACACCCCCACCCACACCCCACCCCCCCCCCCCCAAACCCCCCCACCCCCTACCAATCACCCAACTCCCCCAACACCCCCCCTAACACCCCCAACTAACCCTATAACACATCACAAACCACCCACCCCTCACCCCCCCCCCCCCTCTCCCCCTTTTCCAACAATCCCCCCATTCCCCACCCACCCACTACCCACCCAACCTCACACCCCCCAAAATACCCCCTATCACCCAACACTCCCCTTTCCCTATCTTTAATTTCCACCTCACTTCACATAACATTAACCCTCCCTATTTCCCCCCACTCTACTCTACTCTACTAACTTACTCTACTTATCTACTTCCTCTACTTCTTCTCTACTCTCACTTACTTCTCTACTCAACTTTACTTACTAACCTCTATATATATACTTTACCCAACCCAACCATCCTCTACTACCTCTCAACTATCCTTTCCTCCTCTACAACACACACCTAAACTCTACTTCAACTCCTATTACTCTACATTCCCATACCCTACTTCCTTCCACTACTCTACTCTATAACTTACTACCTCTCCTTACTTACTCTCTCTACTACTACTCTACTATACTCAACTCTACTCTCCTTCAACCCTATATATTATCTCAAACTACCTTATATCCCCTTACTAATACTTACTTCTACTCTTACACTACTTTACTCCCCCTATCCCCCTCCCTACATTACACTCATATCTCATCTCTCTCTACACCCTACCAACTCTATATTAACTTTACTCTCTAACATCTACTATAACCATCCCCCTAAACACCCCCAACACCCATCCCTAACACCCCTACCCAACCCCACCACCTTCCATCCCTTCCCACATACCTAAACAACCCCTATCCCTAACCTCTATCCCTCCACACCATTCAATACATATCCACTCTCCTACACCTATTCCCCCCTTACCACTCTTACCCCCATCCCCCTACCTCACCCCCTCCCACAATCCCATCATACATACACCCTCCAACTCCTATACAAACCCACCCTCTTCCCTCTCAAAAAATACCCTACCCACAACCTCAAATCCACCCCCTATCTCAAACCCCTACTAACCCAATTAACACCCTCCTCCTCCCCCCCCCCCCATTATCCCATCTTCCCTACACTTCACAAATAACCACCTACCCTCTTACATCCCCCACACCCCTCACCCCCATCACCCCCCTCCCTCCACCATCATTTCACCCTAACACCCCCTCACACCCAACCAACCCCAAACCATTCAACCCCACATTCCCCAACCCTCTCCCCCACACCCCCCTCACAACCACACCTCAACCAAAAACACCCACACATCACAACAACAACAACCACACAACCACAACTCACAAAATAACAAAACAATATTCAAACATACCCTCCATAATCCCCCCATATTCCCCCCCCCCTAACCCAACCCCACCCCAACTTATAATACCACCCTCCTCCCCTACCCACTAACTACAAATCACACCACCCCCCATATCCCCCCCCCCCCCCCCCAAAACAACATCCACCCTTACAACACCACCCTACCCCCACCATCCCCAATCCCCACCCCACACCCCCCACACACATCTATACTCACTTACCCCAACCTACCCCCATCTCCCTCAACACCACTAACTCCAACCCCCACTACAAACACCCACTCTCACCTACCAAAAACCACCCCCCCAACCCAATTACCCCCCCCCCCCACCCCACAACCCACCCACTCTATTCCCCCCCACCACAACCCCCCAACAACCCTACACATCTCCAATACATACATACCCCATCATCACACACAAACTCATACTATCCCCCATACCCCAAACCACTCCCCCATAACCCCCCCCAACAATACCCCCTCACAATACCACCCCCCATTCCAACCACCCTTTCCCCCCCTCCCTCACTTACAAACCCCAATATCCCCACCCCCACCCACCATCATTTTTCCACCCTCCTCAAATCTCTATACTCCCCCCCCCCCCCTATATTACAAACCATCCCCATACAATCACAACTCCCAACCCACCCCCCCTACACCTTACCCCTCCAACCCCCCTATACTCCTCCCTCCCCCCACACCCTTCCACCTTCAACAACAACCCCCCAACAATAAAAAAAAACTTCCCTATCCCACACTACACATACCACACACACTCCACCAACCACACCCACCGACTCAATCCAATTACCCCCCACCCCTACCACTAACCCCCAACATAATCAACTCCCCCCCCCCCCCCATACCCAACCCATTTAAATCACAATCCCCCCCTTCCATACAACCCACTCCTCCACCCCCCCACTTCCTCCACTCAATTCTTACCTCTCACACCCCCCTTTCACCTTAATTAAAACAACCTTTCCCCACACTATAAAATATAAACCCTCCCCCTCACCCCTAATTCCACTCTAACCCCCCCCCCCCCCCTCCCCTTAATACAACTATTCTCCCAAATCCTAACACCACCCCCCCCTACACTCACCATATAAACAACACAACCCCACCATATAAAACCAACACCTCAACCCCTCACATATATCCTCCACTCCCTACAAAACATCCTACCCCCCACCCCCCTCCCCCCACCCATCCCACCTTTCCCCCCACCCCCCCCCCTCCTACCCCCCCCCCCCCCTACCAAACAACAAACCCCATTACTCCCCCCCCAACAAACACCATAACCTCCCACATCCCCCACAACAATCTTCACCCCTTTCCTTCCACCATATTAATATCAATCTTCTCCCCTCCATACAACAGTACAAATATCCCCACATCTTCTCCCTAACATTCCACTTTTCCCCTCATCTCCTAACAAACCAATCATTCCACCAATCTACTCCCTTTCCAACAATATTTCAATCAATCTCCCCCTATACCCATACAAACAACCCTACAACTCCTTACAACACCCCCCCCCCCACAACCCAAAACCATACCCCCCCACCCCCCCACCTCACTCCCCCACCATCCACCCCCCCCCCCCCCACCCCACCATCAACCACCCATAATCCCCACCCCCCCACCTCAACCCCCCCACCAACCCCCCCCCCCCACCACCCCCTCTTCCTCCAACCACACCCCCCCTCTACACCCCCCCCCAACCCCCATACCACAATCCCCCACTCCCACAACACCTTACTCTACCACCTACCAACACCCACACCACTACCCCCATCCTACCCCAATTACCATCCACACACCACAATACCTCCCCCCCCCCCAAACCACATCACAACCATACTCCATATATATCCCATAATATCATCCCACACCCCATCAACCATCCCCACCCTATCCTCACTCATCCCTTCTCTCATCCCCTCATCACATACCTCTTCTCTCTACCCCCTCTCTCTCTCTACTCTCCTTCACTCTCCCCCCTCTCTTTCTCCTCTCATCTCTCCTCACTCATCCTTTCTCCTATTACTCTCCCTCATCATCACTCCCCTACATCTCACACTATTCCCCACACACACACCCCCCCTAACTCTCCCTCTCTCTCTCCCCTCTCTATTCATCCCCTCTCATCACTCTCACTCTCCACACTACTCCACACACATCCCCTCATCACTCTTCTTTCTCCCCCCACTAACATCTACCCACATCTCACCTCTCATCATACTCCCCTTACACACTTCCCCCCCACTACATCTCACCCTCACACTCACCCCACTCAACATACACCCCTCACATCTCTTCCCCACACTACCCTACACTCTCACCCACTTCTCTCCCCCCCCTCTCTCACTTCCCCCCTCACTCTCCCACTCACACCCCCCTTCTCACTCCTCTTCAACCCACCCTCTCTCATCCTCAACATCCCCTCTCACTCTATCCACTCTCTACCCCCCCCCCCCCCCCCCCCACCCTCACCCCACACACTTCCTCACTTCACATCCCCCCCATCTCTCATCATCACTCACACCCTACTCTCTCCTTCATCACACATACCCCATCTCTCTCTCCCTAACTCTCATCCCTACACACCTCTCTCTCCTCTTACTCCCACCTCATCTCTCCTCTCTCTCATCCTCTCTCATATCCTCACTTCTCCCCCTCTCTTTCACCTCTCTACTCTCCCCCCCTCCATCTCACTCCCTCTCATCACCCTCTCTATCTCCTCTTATCACCCTCTACATCTCACCTACTCTACTCTCCTTCTCTTTCCATTTCATCACTCTTCTATCTATACACCCCCTCTCTCTCTTCCTATCTCTCTCCCCCCCTCTCTCCCCCTCTACCTCATCCCCCCACACCATCAACCCCATCATCCACCATATCACCCCCCCTCATCACCCCCCACACTCACATCCCTATCTATCACCAATCACTACCCCCTCTCCCCCACTCTACACCCCCAATACCCCCACACCCATTAACAACAAAACATCCCCCAACCCCCCCCCCCTAAACCCACCCACAATACCCCCCCCCCCACCACTATCACATCCACTCACTCTCTATCTCCCCTTCACACCCCCCACTACCCCCCTCTCTCCTTCCTCCCCATCTCTACCCTCTCCCCTCTCTCTACCCCCCCCCTCATTCTCTACTCCCTCCCCATCCCTCTTCTCTCTACCCCCCCCCCTCTCTCTCCCCTTCTCCTTCTCTCTTCATTTCTTTAACTCTCTCTCCCCCCCTCTTTCCCCTTCTCTCCCCCTCTCTTTACCTCTCTCTCCCCCTCTATCCTCTCTCACCCTCTCTTTCAACTCTCTCTCCCCCCCCATTCTCCTCTCTCTCTTTCCCACCCCTACTACTCCCCCCTCTTCCACTCACTCTCTCCCTTTCTCTATCTCCATTACTCTCTCTCCATCTCTTCCCTTACTATCCCATAAACATCCCATCCCTCCCATCCTTACCATTCCTACTATCATTAATCCCCATCCCCCCTCTTCCACCCTCCACACCCATCCCCCCCTTATCCATATCCCCTACCAAATCACAAAATCATCCTACCCCCTACCCCAACCAATCCCACACCCCCCCACCCCCCCCCCCTATAACCCACCACCCCCCCCCACCAACTCAAACCACAATTCCCAATATCTATCCCCCCCACCAATCATCACAACAATAAACCCACCACACTACCCTCCACCCCCCATAAACAACACAACCCTTCCCTACCAATAACTCACCCCCATCTCCCCCCCCCAACCCCCCAAACCCCCCCCCCCATACAACAAAACATCTCTCTCAAACCACCCCCACACACCCCCCCCCCCCCCAATCCCCCCAACCACCACCCCCCCCAAACCCATACTTCCTCCTCCCAACCCCCACCCCAAACCCCCCCCACACCCTCCTCCCCCCACCCCCACCACAAACCATACCATCCATATACATCAACAACTAACCACTTATCCCCAATAATCCAACAACTCCCCCCACCACTAAAAAAACCCAACCCCCCCACCATCCAAACATAAAACCTATTAACTCAAACCCAAACATCTATTCTCTTACCCCCTCTCCCCCCCAACCCACTACAACCAAACACCACCAAACAACAAATTCCAACATATCCACACAACCCCCCATTTCAAAACATTTACACACCCACCCACCCCCCCCCATAAAACACATATTACCCATAAATTAAAACCATTAACACCAATTACCACCACCACACCCCAAATTTACCCAAAATTAAACACAACTTACACCACACCACCCAAATTACCACCACATTAAAACCAACTTACACAAAACCCCACACCCCCTTACCACCACAATACACACAAATTAAAAACCAAATTAACACATTACAATTAAACAAAAATAAACCAATTATAACAAATTACAAAAAATTACACATTACACAATCTAACTAATTAAACACATTACCCCACCAATTACCAACACAATCCACACCCCTTACAACACTCCACTCAACACACCAAAAACAACTACCTCCCTAATACCCCCCCCCCCTCCCTTCCACCCCCACTCTCCCCTCCACCCACTCCCCCCCCCCCCCCCCATTCACCACAACTATAAAATCCCCCTTACCAACCTCAACCATAACCCCCACAATTCCACACAATATCAACACATACAAAATATCAACACATATCACACACACATTACACCACAAAATACCACACTTACCACCACACCATTACCAACCACACTTACCACAAAATAAAAATTAAAACAATTACCAAACCCCCAATTACCCCCACCACCAACAATACACCACCATTAACCACACAATCCAACAATTAAACCACAATTACACACCACATTAACCAACACAATTCACCACAACTTAACAAACAAATTCAAAAAATTACCCAACACATTACCCTCACACATTCAACCACCCCAATTAACAACATTCACACCCACACCCACCCCCCCCCCCCCCCCCCCCCCCCCCCCCCCATTAAACCCACCAATTACCCCACACACCACATTAACACACATTAAAAATTACACCAAACAATTTAAACCAAATTACACAACAATTAATAAATCAAACACATTCACCAACACACTTAACAACCAATTAAACACCACATTAACACAAATTACACACAATTTACACCACATTAAAAAATACACACCCCCCACAATTACACCAAACCCATTACACAACACATTTAAACCAATTAAACAAAATAACAAAATTAAACAACATTACCACCACAAACATTATCCAAACCCAAATTACCCAACAATTACCAAATTAACCCACAATTACCCCCAACATTACCACAACCACATTACCACACACATAAACCAACTTCACACCAAACCACTACCAACCACATACCACACCCCACATTCACAACCCCCAATTATACACCCACACAATTACCCCCACCCTTTACACACACAATAACACCCTTACCCCCCAACATTTACACCACTAAAACCCAAATTCACAACAATACCACCCACATTACAACATTCCAAATTAACACAAATTACACAACATTAACAAATTAACAACCCAAACCTATATTATCCCTTAACCCCCTTTCACCCCACCCAACCACTCACCACCCCTCCCAACATACAAACCTCTAACCACCCTCCACAATACCCCAACACCAACTATCTAACCCACCAAAAACCCCCCACTCACCCAACCACCAACCCTAACCACCTAACACCCCAATATAACCCTCCCCCCCCCCATACCCAACACCCACCCCCCCCAAACCCACATCTTTCCTATCACTAATTTGTCCCCTACCCCACAAACCACCCACACATACTCCCATATCCATCAATACTCTCAAACCCATTTCCTACCCCACACAATAAACAAACCCAACCTTCCACACACCACCCCCTATTCCTACCTCTTCCCCCACCCTCCACCTCATACCATCCTACCCCATATACACACTACCCCCTCCTTCTCCCCCAACATCTTCAACTCTTACCCTCTTCCCCATACATAAACCCCCCCCCTCTCCCTCCATTCTTCCCCCCCCCTACCCCCCTAACCCCCCCCCCTTTCTACACTTCTACTCCCATATCACCACCCTCTACCCCCCCACTACATCCCCCCCTACATCTCACACCTCTACCTCTTCTTCCCCCCCCCCTAATATCAACCCTATCTCCTCTACTTAACACATTCCCCCTACCCCATACCCTCACAAATTATACTTCCCCATTCAACCATCCCCAACCCCAACCCCCCAAAAACAAAAACACAAAAAAAAATACAACTCCCCACCAATCCTAATATCAAAAATACCTTCTTCAACCCCCCCCCCCCCCCCCCCCCCATATCAAAACCCCCCCTCACCTCTCACCCCCCCCTAACCCCCCCCCCCCTTCATCCCATCACCTCCCCCCCCAACTACCTAAAACCATCTTTATACAAAATCCATCCCCCAAATACCCAAACCCCCTCCATTCAACCTAAATTCCACATCACTCCTACAACATCATTACATCCCCCCCCCCCCCTCCACCATTACCTTCCCCCTCCTCCCCTCTCCCCCCCCAAAAACTTATCAAACCCCCCTTATAAACCCCTTCCACATTACCCCATAATTACACATTACATCCACACCCCCTTTTACTCTCCCCTCCCCCCACCCCTCACTATCCTCAAAAAATTTAACCCCTCCCCCTCCCTCCCTCCCCATCTTCCAACTCCATCCTCTTCCCCACATCATCACCATAATCATCACCCCTAATCATCCAACACCCCACATATCACCTCACCACCCCCCCCCCCAATCTCTAGGATCCTACCCATTCTCCCTATATTTCTCTCATAATCCACCAGTAACATTATAACACCCCAGTAACCCCCTAATACATTTAAGTAAAATGCCTCCAACAACCCCCCCATAATCAAATAAACCCTATCCCCATAAAATCCCTACCTAACCCCCTAGCCAACAACCCCCCCTCCACACATTAATATCCAATATAGCAAATTATCCCCTACCATATCCCCACCTTACTTTATAGACCCGTTGAATAAACACTAACCCCATAATCACCCCCACTTATTCATCAGACCCCTACCTATTTGTAAACCATTGAAAAAAACACTCTACCCATATATTTACCCTTTCCTTCTCTCCCCTCTAACACCAACCTGTCCCAAAAACCCACCTCCAATACTACCCCTCCGCAGTTCCCTCAAACAACCCACTATAATCTCCATTACTACATCCCCATGAGATAAATAATGTCTTAGTAAAATCACAACACTCGTCCACCTCTTCCTGCTCATCCAGCTTCCCACCGTATCCCACCATATAAACAACTTAACGATAACTCTCCACAGATGATATGCTTTTCCCAAGTCTCGCCCATGATACCCTCTAGACACTATAATTATTCAAACACCGTTACTAGCACCCGACCGACATAAAACAACCTGGAGCCCCAATCCAAAGAAAGTGACCCTATAATGAACGTCTCACGCCATATGAGCACCGTGCACTAATAGGACTTCCAAAACTAAGCTTATACTTCTACTAATCAATAATTGATACCTTTAAGAAGTTCCCATACGCTGAATGTACAACCACCTACAAACCCACAAACGACCCCTCCAACAAATAAAAAAAACATAGCTACACTAGTTAAAACAATAAAAAATCATGAGAAACTCTCTGTTTAAATTTCCCCAAATACACGGTACCAACAGGATGAGCCCATGTGGACCGGGGCATGCCCTATGCAATGAACCAAACAGCAGAATGATATACTTGCGCCCTGCAGAGTAGTTTTAAAGAAAACATATCCCATCTTAAAACTCCACCCCCACCCCCCCCCCCCAATCACTAAAAAACCAAACCACATAAAAATTAAACAAATCTATATCCCCCCCAAAACTTCCACCAAACCCAATCCACTTACTAAACCCAATCCCCTCATTTTCCCCCCCCACTAACTCAATCAGATTTATTCCCAACTCCTTTTACCCTCTATCACCCCCCTTCTCCCCCTTTTATTTAAAACTCTTTCTTATTCCACTTCCACATATATTACAAACATAATTCCCATCCCCTCTTCCCCTCTCTCCTACCTACATACCCCATACCCCATACCCAACTCCATTTCATCTTTCATATTCCCATTCTTTTTTTCAATTTCATTTCCATCTTCATTTCCATTTCATTTCCATCTTCCATTCCATCTTTCATTCCCCTCCCATTTCAACCCCCCCACCAACCTCAAAACACACCAACAACCCACCCACACAACCACACACTAACCCACTCACAACACCCACCCCACAACAACAACACCCACACAAACACCAAACCAAAACCAACAACTACAACCAACCACACAACCAACCACACCAACCAACCCACACAAACACACAACACAACCCAAACCAAAACCCAAATACCTACCACCACAACCAACCCACACACAAACCACCCCCCCCAAAATAAACAACCACCAAACCCCCAAGCCCCCCCACAACCACCCTACCAACCCAACCCCCACCACACCACACCACACAACCAACAACCAAACAAACAACACAACCCCAACACACACCACACACACACCAACCAACTATAAACCCATTAATATACACCCCCCCCTAACCCCCCACCAACAAAATACCACACAAATTACAATTAAACACTTACTATTAACCCCACCTTATAACACCCATCCTATCACTACCCTACCTCGATAGAATTAATCCCATTAATCCCCTTCCAAACCATTTACACAAAAAAATTATCCCTAAATCCCTTCACTTTCCTCCCCCTCACACCCCCCCTTACCTCCTCTCACCTCCCTTATTATTCCCTTTTCAACCTACCCCCCTACAAAACATCCCCCCCTCCCAAAAAAATTTACCTTCTCACCCTTCCCCCCCCCAACATCCTTCCCCCAAAAACCCAAAATTAAATAATCACCCTCAAACCAAATCAACCCCCGCTTCAATTCAATCCCCACCCTTCAATCCTTAAATCTCAATAAACCAATCTAATACCCTACCCCCTCATTACCATCCCTACACATCACCCCCATACCACCAAAACAACCACCAACCATCACACCAAACAACAAATTTTACACCAACACACACATCACAAATCCCCACACACACACACACAAACCCCCCCAAAACCAATTACTCCCCATCCTCACCCTAAAAAATACCCCCCACACCCCCCTCTCACAATTCCCCCCACTCACCCCCCACCATCATTTTAATTTCTTCACCAACAAATTTACCACACAATTACACAGAACTTTCACATAATCAAACAAAAATTAAACACAAATTACACAAAATACAAATTACACCCAATTATATAACATTCCACACAAAATTACACACATTTAAACAAACACAACCATTACCACCCCAAAACACCCAATCACACAAACTACTCCCCACCCAACAAACCCAAACATCCACAACACATTACAATAATTAAAACCACCCGACACCTTAAATTAATTCCTGCCACTGTCAAAAACCCTATTTTATAATACATAACTCCCTATTTCAAATTCACACCAGATGTTAGCAGTATAACTATTCACATAACCCTACAATCCCCTACAGACCTACCAGCATATTCCTAATACAATATACTTCGTTCTCATCCTATCCTATATCCCCAAACATTGCCTTTCCCCCTACTAAATCCCCCACACGACTATCCAAGATGGCCATCCACCACACAATAATAAAACGTAGAATAAAACCGAATCTCTAAACATTTATATCCATCATCCTGCATTAGAATTTCCTTATAGAAATTTCCTTCCCTCCTTAAATTCATTCCCTCAACAAAAAGTCTTCTCTCGAGCAATATCTCCCTACATAGCTACCTCTCTACCCCCTCTCGCTCCAATAGTAACTATTACCCAATGCTCTCCTATCTTGCCCCTAACTCTATACTCTAGAGATACATGTCATGCTGCTCTATCCTCTCTCTTCCCTAACTATATACCATCGTCCCCATGCTCCTCTCACCTCCTTATCCCCTCTATCTCGCCTCAATATTCCATACTATCTCTCATCTTCTACTTTCCTTCCATCTCCTAACAAAGAATAAACCCCCTAACAACAACTAAACCTTTCCAGCCCAAATAAATTTTCAATACTTGTACCTCTGATTATTAAGGTTACGTCTGTGCCACCCCCATTCCCCACAACTTCGACCCCGCTACCATTTCCCGGTTTCCCATCGTCCACCATGTCTTGACAAACCTCCATCCGTGCAGAAGCATCCACCCGTCCCCCCCCCTATTCTTTTTACACTCTTCATCCCTGATATCTAACCCCTTAATGCCTTTTACATCCACGTCATACAACCCCAAAATAAACAAAAATACCAGTCCCAAAACCATCACCCCTCATCATAGGACAAAACACAACACAGTACCCCATTAGATGTGTCACCCACACCTTAACCTTCCAGACTACCCCCAGCAACACATGATATATTATTCCCAAAATCTACAACCTAAACAACCCCACTCTACCCTCTTCTCCTCTCTCTCCTTCTTTACCCTCTCTAGCGACCTCTATGCGCTCGCATCTCTCTCTCCTAGATCTCCCCCTATCTCTCCATTATCTCTATCCCCCTCCTTCTCTCCCCCCCCATCTATCTCTCCCCTATTCCTCTCCCATCTCTATTTCCTATAATCCCGCTTCATGAAATCACAAAAGCAAACCACCCCATTACTAAGATTCCGGACTTCATCTTCCACCCTCATTCTTTCTTTCCTTTAACCTTCAAATTACTTATTCACCTTCCTTTTCCCTAACTTTCACCATTCCTAATTCCTTAATTCACCCTTCTATTTTACATACTTAATTCTTCTCCTTCTCCATCCCATCCCCTCCCTACCTCTTCTCCCACCCCCTCTATCCCTATATAATTATGGATCCTACCCCCTATCATTATCATATTAAACCTACCATACCATCCTCCTTCCCTTATTCTGTCGAACATCCACCTCCAATGAAAATCCAACCCAAAACCCCAAACCCTTCCCATTTGTCTTTCCCCCTTTACCTCCATAGTCCCCTAACATCATCCCATATAGAACCTAATTACACCACTATACCCCCTTATATATCCTTAAACCAACTACTACTCATAACCTTTTAAACCATAACTCTCTACCTTAAAATATAAAACACTCCCACTCCATATATTCTCTTCTACAACTCAACCCCTAACAACCATCATCACCACAAACCAACCCCCAAATTATAACCCTAATATACAATAATTATCAAAATTACATCCCTATTTCCCCCCTATCCCCCCATTAAAATTTTCACAAAAAAAACTACCCCCACCCCCCTTACTTACACAAATATTCCCTATAATACTATACAACATAAAACCCTCCTTTCCAACAACCAAATACCCCCCCCCTCCTACCCACAACAATCACTATCATCTCCCCCCCCCACCCCCCATACATCCCTAATAACATATCAAATAACCTCCATCAACCCCAAATTCCCTCCTATAACTCACACCATCAATACATCAAACAACCCTCTCAAAATCCCTCTTTCCCTCCTATTCCCAATTCCCCAAACCCTTCTCTCATCTACTATACCACACCTCTAATCACTCCCCCATCCCCTCCACCCCCTCTCCTACCACATATCCCAAAATATAAAAAAATCCTACTTTTAATACAATAACTATAACCCTTCACAACCACAACCCACAAAACATCATCCCCCAAACCCCCCACAAAAACCTCATTCCCACCATAACTCCATATAATCATACAACCTATCCATTTCCTCCATAATAACATTAAAACATTACCAACAATTACCCACACAATTACAACCAATTAACACCAATTAACCAAATAAACCAATACCAACCCCAAAAATCACACCCCATACCCCCCTAAACCCACTTAAAAAATTAACACCACACATTACCCAAAAGTACACAATTAAACCACAATTACCCACAAACCATTACAAACCCACTAACCATCTAAATCTCCCCCCCACTACCCAACTTCTTTCATAAAACCACCAATCCATACTCTCATATAAATCAAAATCATTATAATTATATCATCATCATACCCTACTACCACAACCCCTACACTTCTCCTATAACTACCCTACCTTAAAAATCCCCAACCTCTCCTCCCCACAACCTCTCCCCACCTCTCTTTTCCCCAAGCAGAACCCCCAACCCCTCCACCCATCACATATCCTAATCCCTAATTTTTCATTCTTTACCTTCAACCCCCAACTATTATAATTCACCTAATAACCTTCCCATCCCTCCTCATTTCTCTCATTCACAGACCCCACACCCCCACCCACCATCATCCACCCCAAAACTTTCAACCCCTATACCAAACCTATCCCACCCCCCAAAAACAATCCCCCTCCCAACCCTTCACACCTTTCAGTACTGATCATATACCATGAAAATTATACTTTTTTCACTTACTAAATTACACCCTCTAACCCCTCCCCCCTACTTCCTATCTTCTCTCCTCACTATCCCAACCTATAACACCACCACCCACCCCCACCACACAAACTACAACCTAAATCTCCTCTCTTTCCTCTCACCCTACATCTCTCTCCGCTTCTCTCCCCTCTCTCTCTCTCTTCTCACCTCTTTTCACTTCTCTCTCCCTCTCCTATCTCCTCACTCCTCCCCTTCTATCCTATCTCTCCCCCCTCTTAATCTCTCCTCACTCTCCCCCCCACCCATCCCTCCTATCTTCCTATCTAATCGAGTCATTCTCACTCTTATCTATCTCTAATATAAACCTCCTATCTCCCCCTCTCTCCATATATCCCACTATGCTACTCTGCTCCATCTGGTCTCGCCATATCTCCCTCCTCTCTATGCGATACTCTCACTCTCTATCCTATCTCCCTCCCTATTCTATGTAATCTCTATCCTCTATTCTTGATTATCGAGCCCACTCTCTCTTCCTCTCCCCCCTATCTCCCTTACTATCTCTCTGCTCCACCATCTCTCATCATCTGAGCCATATATATCAACCCTCTCTCACATCTCATATTACTTTATATAGACCATTATCTGATACTCGCCTACATCCACAATATTGCAAGCCGAAAAACAAAACACATAATCCATCAACAATCCGCATAACCCCATAAACTCAACACATAACCCACATCCCTCAAAAAACTCCAAATCTAAACTACTATCATCCCCTCAAACTACACTATCCACCCCCCCCTCCCACCTCCCCTCCAACCAATATCCCCCCTCATCCCCCCCCCTCCATTTTTCCAACCCCGATCCCCCCCCCACCCCTATCTAAAAATCCCCAACCCTCCCCCTCCCTCACCTTAATTAATTCCTTCTTTTCCCTTACAACAATACCCTCCCTCCAACATAAAAACCCCCACTTACCTCAACCCCCACAAACAACCAAACTTCAAATCTATCACCCCCCCAAACCATTTACCCCCACAACAAACTAAACACACCCTTTCCCCTCTCTCTCCAACCACAACAAAAACAACATAATAATAATAATCTCTTCAAAACCAAAAAACCCTACACACACCCACCACACTAACACCCCCTACCCAAAATACACCCCCCCCCACATCCCATTCCTCCCATCTATTAACACCTCACCACTCAATCCCCCCCACAACAAAAAAACCCACCCACTACCCCCCACTCACCCCACAGAACAGCAGAGGAGCAAGAGCGACGCAGCGAAGCAGAATGAAGCCACGTGAAAAGAAAAGTTTTCGTGTTTAGGAGAGTGAGAGACAGGGAATCGTAGAGTGGTGAGGGGAGAGGAGGAGGTGCCAAAGATGAGAGGAATAGTAGGGAGATAAAGAGGGGCAGGAGAAGGAGGAGGGTAGGGGGAAAGCGCGGGGTAGGAAGAAGAACGAGCGAAAGGGAAAAAAGCTGCGCGAAGAAGAGCGCAAAGAAGATGACCGAGCACCCCCGAAGAAAAGAAAAAGAACGATGGGAAGCGCGAAGTCGCAGAAGAGAGGAAAAAGATGGAGACGCAGGAAGAGACGAAAACAAAAGCGAAGGGGAGACTGGAGCGCAATAAAAAAAAAAGAGATTGAGCGAGAAGTGACGGACGAGAGAAAACGGATAAGCAACTAAGGAGAAGAGAAAGTGACTGGACCCAGAACCGCTGGAGTGCGAAGAAGTGATGAGAGAGAAGCGACGGCGCCGGCGAAGCCGACTTGAGAGGGCAGAGGAGAGCCGATGACACCGCGGGAAGCGCGCACAAACGCTGCGAATCTGGGTTCCACGCCCCCCCACCACCCGCACCACCAAAACGACGCACCCACCCCCACCACCCTCCGCGAAACTCCCCCACCAACATGAACCCCCCACCACCCCGGCCGAGCTCCCCATCTTCATCTCTCCTCTCTCTCTCTCCTCTCATCTGCTTTTCCTCATCTCCCCTCCCCTCCCGCTAATTCTCCGCTCTTTTCTCTCCATCTTTCCTCTCTCCCCCTTACATATTTCACCTATACATTCCCCCTCAAAACTTCCTCCTCTCATCAATCCTGACCACACAAACAAACACACCCACTAACCACAAAACACACACTACAACACAACCCCACACAAACACACAACAACAAAAACAAACCAAACCACCAAACACACAAACAACACATAACACCCCCACACACACACAACTACAAACACACCACCCCCACACACAACAAACCCACCCCACACCACCACACACCACAACATCCCAAACCACACACACACAAAACACACACACCCAAAACAAACCCACCACACTCTCCTAACTCACATCATCTCTCCCCCCCTCTCCACTCCTCCCCATCTATCCCACAACAAACTTCACTCAAACCTATCTTCCCCCTCAATCTTCCTCTCTCCCCACCTCTCCCCCCTCCACTCTCCTCTCTCTCTCCCCCTATCTCTCTCCTCCTCTCTTTCACTCCCCTACCCACACCTCAATCTCTCTCCCCTCCTCTCTTCCTCCTACCTTTTCCTCTCTTCCCCCCTCATCTCTCTCTCCTCCCCCCCTCTCCCTCTCTCTTCTCCTACTCTCTTCCTCTCTCTCTCTTCCTCTCTCTCTCCCCCCTCATCTCTCTCATTATCTCCTCTCTCTCCCTCCCCCACTCATCTTCTTCCCTCCTCTCTCTCCCCCTAATCATCTTCTCTCTCCCCCCCCCCCCCTCATCTCTCTCCTCTCTCTCTCCCCTCATCTCTCTTCCTCTCCCCCCCCCCCCTCAATCTCTCCCACTCTACCTCTCTTCCCCCTCATCTATCTCCTCTCTCCCCCTCACCCTCTCCCCCCCCCCGCCCCCCTCATCTCTCTCCCCTCTCTCTCCCCATCATCTCTCTCCTCTCTCCCCTCCCCTCCTCCCCCCCCCGCCCCCCCCTATCTCTCTCTCCTCTCTCTCCTCCCTCATCTCTTCCTCTCTCCCCTCCCCTGTCTCCCCCCCCCCCTCCCTCATCTCTCTCCTCTCTCTCTCCCCCTATCTCTCTCTCTCTTTCCTCTCTCATCTCTCTTTTCTCTCAGAGTAAATTTATGTTGCGTGTAAATATGGCCTCACAGCAGAGTGCTCCATTCAATCAGCTGCTGCTCAGTCAGGGTTTCCCCTGACTGAGCAAACTCTGGACCAATACTGGACCCAGACCAGACCAGACCAGACCAGACCAGACCAGACCAGACCAGACCAGACCAGACCAAACCAGACTAGGACATACTAGACTAAGAAGATTGTAACCAGAAGACTGGACCCCAGCCTCTTACAACAACATGTCTTTTTGCTCCATTGGCATTTATTCAAGCAAATGTGTGTGAGGTGTGAGAGAGGAGGAGAGAGGGGAGGAGAGAGAGGAGGGAGAGGAGAGAGGGAGGGAGGAGAGGAGAGGAGAAGAGGAGAGGAGAGGGAGAGGAGAGAGGAGGGAGAGGAAGAGAGTGAGGAGAGAGGAGAGGAGAGAGGAAGGGGAGAGGAGGGAGAGGAGGAGGAGAGAGGAGGGAGAGAGGAGAGGAGAGAGGAGGGAGAGGAGGAGAGGAGAGGAGAGAGGAGGAGAGAGGAGAAGAGGAGAGAGAGGAGAGAGGAGGGAGAGGGAGAGGAGAGAGGAGAGAGGAGAGGAGAGAGAGAGGAGAGAGAGGGGAGGAGAGGAGTGAGAGGGGAGGAGAGAGAGGAGGGAGAGGGAGAGAGGAGGTTGAGAGGAGAGAGGAGGAGAGGAGAGGAGAGAGAGGAGGAGGAGGGAGGAGAGAGGAGGGAGAGGAGAGAGGAGGAGGGAGAGGAGAGGAGGAGAGGAGAGGGAGAGAGGAGGGAGAGGAGAGAGGAGGGAGAGAGGAGAGAGGAGGGAGAGGAGGGAGAGGAGGAGGAGGGAGAGGAGAGAGGAGGGAGAGGAGAGAGAGAGAGGGGAGTGAGAGTGGAGGGAGAGGAGCGGATGAGAGAGGGGAGGAGAGAGGAGGAGAGGAGAGAGGAGGGAGAGGAGGAAGAGGAGAGAGGAGGGAGAGGAGAGAGGGAGGGAGAGGATGGAGAGGAGGAGAGAGGAGAGAGGAGGGAGGGAGAGAGGAGGGGAGGAGAGAGGAGAGAGAGGGGAGGAGAGAGGAGGGCGAGAGGAGAGAGGAGGGAGAGGAGAGAGGAGAGGAGAGGAAAGGAGAGGAGAGAGGAGAGAGGAGGGAGAGAGGAGAGAGGGAGGAGAGAGGAGAGGAGAGAGGGAGGAGAGGAGAGAGAGGAGAGAGGGAGGAGAGAAGAGAGAGACAAGATGGAGGAGAGAGGGAGGAGAGAAGAGAGAGACATGAGGGAGGAGAGAGAGGAGAGAGAGGAGGAGAGGAGAGAGAAGAGAGAGGGTGGAGAGAGAGGAGAAAAGAGAGAGAGGAGAGGATCAGGGTCAAAGCAGAGGGTTCATGTGTGAAGGACAAACACATGGATCAACAGACCAGGAGGAGATGACTCTCTCTCCTCTCTTCCCCCTCCTCTCTCTCCCCTCTCTCCCCCACCTCTCTCCCCCACCTCACTCTCCTCTCTCTCCCCCACCTCCCCCTCCTCTCTCCCCCACCTCCCCCTCCTCTCTTCCCCACCTCACTCTCCTCTCTCTCCCCCACCTCCCCCTCCTCTCTCCCCCACCTCACTCTCCTCTCTCTCCCCCACCTCTCTTCCCCCACCTCCCCCACCTCTCTCCCCCCCTCCCCCTCCTCTCTCCCCACCTCACTCTCCTCTCTCTCCCCCCTCCCCCTCCTCTCTCATCCAATCATCTCTGTAAATCTTGTGTGTGACAACAATGGAATTGAAAGGCTCCTGCTGCAGTGAATCATGGGTAATGTAGTTCTTCTGTTGGACTGAGCTGTCTCATATACAGAACAGAGAGAGCCCTGAGAGTCACTCTTTGACTCTTTGGGCTGAGAACTGATTTGCTGATGGTGGTCCTCTCTTCTCCCCTCCCCTCCTCTCCCTCCCCTCCCTCTCCTCCCCCTCCTTCCCCTCCTCCCCTCCACTCTTGTTGTCAGTTTCGTAGGTGACTCAATCCTCTTACATTAATCCTTGGAGTTTTAAAACCAGTGCAAAACTGTGTGACTTCAGTGGTTTTAGAGGAAAACTGTCAGAGGAGCTTTTTATAGAAGTAATCCACCCCAGTGTCGGATTAGAGGCGAAGAAGTGCTCTCTGCGAATCTGCAACTTAGTCTTTTAGAACTCAGAGATATGTCCACGGCCTGGAACCAGCTCTCCTCCGCTACTCTCTCTCTCCTCCCTCTGTCTCATCTCCTTCACATTTCACTCCTCTCTCTTCTTCCTCCCCATCCCTCCTCCCTCCTCCCCCCTCTCTCTCCTCTCCCCTATCCCATCTCCCTCCTCTCTCCCCCCCCTCTCTCTCTCTCCTCCCTCCTCTCCCCTATCCCATCTCCCTCCTCTCTCCTCCCCCCTCTCTCGCCCTCCCCTCTCCTCCCTCTCTCCTCCCTCCTCTCCCCTATCCCATCTCCCTCCTCTCTCTCCCCCCTCTCTCGCCCTCCCCTCTCCTCCCTCTCTCCTCCCTCCTCTCCCCTATCCCATCTCCCTCCTCTCAACCCCCCCCCCTCTCTCCCCTCCCCTCTCCTCCCTCTCTTCCTCCCTCCTCTCCCCTATCCCATCTCCCTCTCTCTCCTCCCCCCTCTCTCTCCCTCCCCTCTCCTCCCTCTCTCCTCCAGGCCTTGCTCTCTCTGTGGAGATGATGTTCTTACTGTTGTTAGAGTTGGAATCACAGGATCCCAGAGAAGGCTATAGCGGGTTAGCGTTGTCCATCTGTGTAGTATCTGGTCCTGGCCTTGGTCCTGGTCCCGTCCTGGTCCTGGTCTTGGCCCTGGTCCTGCACCTGCAGATCCTCCATCTGCTGCTGAGCTCTCTACCTCTCTTCCTGTTCATCACCTGCAGCTGTGTGCAGCTCCATCCACGCTGACTTCCTGCCCCCCCCCCCCCCCCCCCCCTCTCTCTCCTCTCTCTCCTCTCTCTCCTCTTTTTCGCTCTCCCCCCTCTCTCTCCTCTCTCTCTCCTCTCTTTCTCTCATCCCTCTCTCTCTCTCCCCCTCTCTCTCTCCCCTCTCTTATATCATCCAGTGTAAATAGTGTCTGTTACAGTCACATTATCACATGTGATCAAAGAAAGACTTCAGCTTTAACTCAGACAGAACAGAAAGAAGTGTGTTTAAGTCTTTACAGCAGTCTACCAGCAGAGGGCGTGCACACACCACACATAACATCACGGTCCCGTCACTGAGGCAACGCTGCCACCAGAGGGCGCTGCTACTGCACATTTCACTACTCTGAATAACCACAATACTATTAGCTGCCACTACTACTGCTACTGCTGCTACTACTGCTGCTGCTGCCGCTACTGCTGCTGCTGCTGCCACTACTACTGCTGCTGCTGCTACTACTGCTGCCGCTGCTACTACTGCTGCTGCTGCTGCTGCTGCCGCTGCTACTACTGCTGCTACTACTGCTGCTGCTGCTGCTGCTGCTGCTGCTGCTGCTGCTGCTGCTGCTGCTGCTGCTGCTGCTGCTGCTGCTGCTGCTGCTGCTGCTGCTGCTGCTGCTGCTGCTGCTGCTGCTGCTGCTGCTACTGCTGCTGCTGCTGCTGCTGCTGCTACTACTGCTGCTGCTGCTGCTGCTGCTGCTGCTGCTGCTGCTGCTGCTGCTGCTGCTGCTGCTGCTGCTGCTGCTGCTGCTGCTGCTACTACTGCTGCTGCTGCTGCTGCCTGCTGCTGCTGCTGCTGCTGCTGCTGCTGCTGCTGCTGCTGCTGCTGCTGCTGCTGCTACTACTGCTGCTGCTGCTGCTGCTGCTGCTACTACTGCTGCTGCTGCTGCTGCTGCTGCTACTGCTGCTACTACTGCTGCTGCTGCCGCTGCTGCTGCTACTACTGCTGCTGCTGCTGCTGCTGCCACTACTACTGCTGCTGCTGCTGCTGTACAGAGTAAAAGTGTGGACACCCTCGCTCCTTCATTGAGTTCTTTTCATGACTATTGACTGTAGACCCGCACCAGGCTGTGAAAGGGCTGTTTGACCAATAAGGAGAGGGATGGTGCTGGGCCACATGACCTCCACAGTCACCGGACCTGAACCCAGTCCAGATGGTTTTGGACCGGAACCCAGTCCAGATGGTTTTGGACCGGAACCCAGTCCAGATGGTTTTGGACCTGAACCCAGTCCAGATGGTTTTGGACCTGAACCCAGTCCAAATGGTTTTGGACCTGAACCCAGTCCAGATGGTTTTGGACCTGAACCCAGTCCAAATGGTTTTGGACCTGAACCCAGTCCAGATGGTTTTGGGTCTGGACCACAGAGTGAAGGGGCCAACAAGTGCTAAGCATCATGGGAACTCAGACCATTTCAGGTCCTGTTGAAGCTCATCCAGAGAATGCCAAGAGTGAAGCAGTATCAGAGCAAAATGTTCTACTTTGAAGAACCAGAATATAACACATATTTACACTTGGTTCATACCTTTTTACTACGAACATCATTCACATGAGTTCATCATAGGTTTGAGGCCCTCAGTGTCAATCTAAAGAACTCTTTGAATGAGCTGTGTCCAAACTTTTGGTCTGTACTGTACTACCACTACTACTACCATTACTACTACCACTACTACTACTACTACTACTACTACTACTACCACTACCACTACTACCATTACTACCACTACTACCATTACTACCACTACTACCACTACTACCACTACTACCACTACTACTACCACTACTACTACCACTACTACTACTACTACTACTACTACCACTACCACTACTACCATTACTACCACTACTACTACCACTACCACTACTACCATTACTACCACTACTACTACCACTACTACTACCACTACTACCACTACTACTACCACTACCACTACTACCATTACTACCACTACTACTACCACTACTACTACTACTACTACTACTACCACTACCACTACTACCACTACTACCATTACTACCACTACTACCACTACTACTACTACTACTACCACTACTACCATTACTACCACTACTACCACTACTACCATTACTACCACTACTACCACTACTACTACTACTACTACTACCACTACTACCATTACTACCACTACTACCACTACTACTACTACTACCACTACTACCATTACTACCACTACTACCAGTACTACCACTACTACCACTACTACTACTACTACTACTACTACTACCACTACTACCATTACTACCACTACTACCATTACTACCACTACTACTACCACTACTACTACTACTACTACTACTACCACTACTACCATTACTACCACTACTACCACTACTACTACTACTACTACTACTACCACTACTACCATTACTACCACTACTACCACTACTACTACTACTACCACTACTACCATTACTACCACTACTACCATTACTACCACTACTACCACTACTACTACTACTACTACTACTACTACCACTACTACCATTACTACCACTACTACCATTACTACCACTACTACCACTACTACTACTACTACCACTACTACCACTACTACCACTACTAACACTACTACCACTACTACCATTACTACCACTACTACTACCACTACTACTACCACTACTACTACTACTTATACATTATTTTCCCACAGACTCTCACTGGAACAGACCAAACTGAGGTGAGGTTTCCCTTTTATTTTAATTTAATATGAAGTGACAGACACATGTGACAAGAGAGGAGGAGAGAGGAGGAGAGGAGAGAGAGAATAGAGGGAGAGAGAGAGAGATGATAGATGTGTTGAAAGTAGACAGTGTTAGTGGACGGTGATGTATAATGAGTTGTGTGGGGAGTGTTCTGACAGAAGGGTCGGGCTGTGTGTGTGTTTGTGTGTGCAGCATGGAGCAGGAACCAGAGACCTGAACCAGACCAGGACCAGGACTAAAGCCAGGACCAGGGAAGACAGAAGGCCATACCATGTGAGTTTCTCTCTTATCTACATGTTGTAATCAGTCACAGCCCTGAAGTTGTTTTTAGATCCATCCATGCTAACACCAAGACCTTCTGGCACAAAGAGAGAGACCAGAGAGAGAGAGACCAGAGAGAGAGAGACCAGAGAGAGAGAGACCAGAGAGAGAGAGACCAGAGAGAGAAAGACCAGAGAGAGAAAGACCAGAGAGAGAGAGAGACCAGAGAGAGCAAGACCAGAGAGAGAGAGAGAGACCAGAGAGAGAGAGAGAGACCAGAGAGAGAGAGAGAGGGACCAGAGCACGAACATGAACGACGTAATGTTAACAAGAATGAAGTCATGAACCTCAGCTTTATTTCCGTCTCTTTGAGTTTGTCCGTTTCCTCGGTTCATTATCGAGGACGCTTCACCTTCATGGATCTAAAGAGCGGCCATCTTTGATCTGGGCAAAGTCATTCTGCACGCGCTCAGTCTGTCCTCTTACTTTCTGCTGATTCACACCTTTTGTCCCGAAAAGACGTTTTTGATCCAGTTTGAAGCATTCATTATAGAATTTAAATTTAAATCCAGTGTTAGAGGACTTTAGGAAGAGAGAGACCAGAGAGAGACCAGAGAGAGACCAGAGAGACCAGAGAGAGACCAGAGAGGGACCAGAGAGAGACCAGAGAGACCAGAGAGAGACCAGAGAGGGACCAGAGAGAGACCAGAGAGAGACCAGAGAGAGACCAGAGAGGGACCAGAGAGACATCAAAGAGAGACCAGAGAGAGACCAGAGAAAGGTCAGAGAAAGGTCAGAGAGAGACCAGAGAGAGACCAGAGAGGGACCAAAGAGAGACCAGAGAGAGACCAGAGAGGGACCAGAGAGAGACCAGAGAGGGACCAGAGAGAGACCAGAGAGAGACCAGAGAGAGACGAGAGAGACCAGAGAGGGACCAGAGAGGGACCAGAGAGGGACCAGAGAGGGACCAGAGAGGGACCAGAGAGGGACCAGAGAGGGACCAGAGAGGGACCAGAGAGGGACCAGAGAGAGACCAGAGACCAGAGAGAGACCAGAGAGAGACCAGAGAAATGTCAGAGAGGGACCAGAGAGAGACCAGAGAGAGAGACCAGAGAGAGAGACCAGAGAGAGACCAGAGAGACCAGAGAGAGACCAGAGAGAGACCAGAGACAGTGTGTAGTGTTAGAACCTTCTTTCACTGACCCAGATGTGAGAAGTAAAAGTTTTATTGTGTCTAACTTCCTGCTGTTTCTCACAGAGACCTCGAGACCTGGTCCAGGATCTGGTCTGAATGGATCAGACAAAAGTGCAGCCAGAGGGGGGTCTGAACGTCACCCTGACCCTCCGCCTGCTCATGCACGGGAAGGTAACGAGACACTGAAGTATCATTACTAAAGCTGGGGTACGCAAATTACCAGAGAGAGACCAGAAAGACCAGAAAGAGACCAGAAAGACCAGAGATAGACCAGAGATAGACCAGAGAGAGACCAGAGAGAGACCAGAAAGACCAGAGAGAGACAAGAGAGAGACCAAAGAGAGACCAGATAGAGACCAGAGACGTTCGGTGACAGAGACCATAAACTGTTTTAGAGCCAGGAACTAGAGACATGGTTTTAATACAGAGTTCTATTTTTGTGGTTTGAAAGTTACGTACCTCAGCTTTAAAATTTGTGGATTTTCTGTTTTCTGAAACGGTGGACTTTGTGTTTCAGGAAGTCGGGAGCATCATCGGGAAGGTCTGTACTTCTGAACTCTGTGGAAACAACACAAAACATGGAGTAAAATGAGTTTGTGATTTCAGAAAGGGGAAACTGTGAAGAAGATGAGAGATGAGGTGAGTTACACATGATATGAGAGAGAGACCAGAGAGAGACCAGAGAGAGACCAGAGAGAGACCAGAGAGAGACCAGAGAGAGAGACCAGAGAGAGACCAGAGAGAGACCAGAGAGAGACCAGAGAGAGACCAGAGAGAGACCAGAGAGAGACCAGAGAGAGACCAGAGAGAGACCAGAGAGAGAGACCAGAGAGAGACCAGAGAGAGACCAGAGAGAGACCAGAGAGAGACCAGAAAGAGACCAGAGAGAGACCAGAGAGAGACCAGAGAGAGAGACCAGAGAGAGACCAGAGAGAGACCAGAGAGAGACCAGAGAGACCAGAGAGAGACCAGAGAGACCAGAGAGAGACCAGAGAGAGACCAGAGAGACCAGAGAGAGACCAGAGAGAGACCAGAAAGTGACCAGAGAGAGACCAGAGAGACCAGAGAGAGACCAGAGAGACCAGAGAGAGACCAGAGAGAGAGACCAGAGGGAGACCAGAGGGAGACTAGAGGGAGACCAGAGAGAGACCAGAGAGAGACCAGAGAGAGACCAGAGAGAGACCAGAAAGTGACCAGAGAGAGACCAGAGAGACCAAAGAGAGACCAGAGAGATCCCAGAGAGAGACATGAGAGAAAGAGAGTCAAGAGAGAGAGAGCAGATAGAGACTCGGAATATCACAGAGAGAGACCCAGAACCCTCTCCTCCTGGTCCTGCAGAGTGGAGCTCGGATCAACATCTCGGAGGGAAACTGTCCAGAGCGGATTGTCACCATCACTGGTCCCACAGACACCATCTTCAAAGCCTTCTCCATGATCGCCTACAAGTTTGAGGAGGTACGTGGACACCAGTGAGTCTCGAGTCTCTCTCTTTGCTCTCTCTCTGGTCTCTCTCTGGTCTCTCTCTGGTCTCTCTCTGGTCTCTCTCTGGTCTCTCTCTGGTCTCTCTCTGGTCTCTCTCTGGTCTCTCTGATCTCTCTCTCTGGTCTCTCTCTGGTCTCTCTGGTCTCTCTCTGGTCTCTCTCTGGTCTCTCTCTGGTCTCTCTCTGGTCTCTCTCTGGTCTCTCTCTGGTCTCTCTCTGGTCTCTCTCTGGTCTCTCTCTGGTCTCTCTTTGCTGTCTCTCTGGTCTCTCTCTGGTCTCTCTCTGGTCTCTCTCTGGTCTCTCTTTCTCTGGTCTCTCTCTGGTCTCTCTTTCTCTGGTCTCTCTCTGGTCTCTCTCTGGTCTCTCTTTCTCTGGTCTCTCTCTGGTCTCTCTCTGGTCTCTCTCTGGTCTCTCTCTGGTCTCTCTTTGCTCTCTCTCTGGTCTCTCTCTGGTCTCTCTCTGGTCTCTCTCTGGTCTCTCTCTGGTCTCTCTCTGGTCTCTCTCTGGTCTCTCTTTCTCTGGTCTCTCTCTGGTCTCTCTCTGGTCTTTCTCTGGTCTCTCTCTGGTCTCTCTTTCTCTGGTCTCTCTCTGGTCTCTCTCTGGTCTCTCTTTCTCTGGTCTCTCTCTGGTCTTTCTCTGGTCTCTCTCTGGTCTCTCTCTGGTCTCTCTCTGGTCTCACTCTGGTCTCTCTGCAGGACATCCTGAGTTCCATGAGTCAGAGTTCTGCTCCCTCTAAACCTCCAGTGACTCTGAGACTCGTGGTTCCAGCGAGTCAGTGTGGGTCTCTGATCGGGAAGGGAGGCTCCAGGATCAAGGACATGAGAGAGGTACACACACACACACACACACAGACACACACACAGACACACACACAGACACACACACAGACACACACACACACACACACACACACACACACACACACACACAGACACACAGACACACACACAGACACACACTCACACACACAGACACACACACACACAGCAGTGTTCCTCACAGAACTGTACAGTCCTCAGGGGCCCAGGTGCAGGTGGCTGGGGACATGTTGCCGAACTCCACAGAGAGAGCAGTGACGGTGTCAGGGGCCCCCGAGGCCTGTGTGCAGTGTGTACGCCAGGTCTGCGTCGTCATGCTCGAGGTACGGTATGCACTCTACGAGCCCAGGAGAAGTCAGTGTGTGTCTGACCAGAGACAGACCAGAGAGAGACCAGAGAGAGACCAGAGAGAGACCAGAGAGAGAAAAACCAGAGAGAGAGAAACCAGAGAGAGAGAAACCAGAGAGAGAGAGACCAGAGAGAGAGAGACCAGAGAGAGAGAGACCAGAGAGAGACCAGAGAGAGACCAGAGAGAGAGCAGAGAGAGAGCAGAGAGAGAGCAGAGAGAGAGCAGAGAGAGAGCAGAGAGAGACCAGAGAGAGACCAGAGAGAGACCAGAGAGAGACCAGAGAGAGAGACCAGAGAGAGAGACCAGAGAGAGAGACCAGAGAGAGAGAGACCAGAGAGAGAGAGACCAGAGAGAGAGAGACCAGAGAGAGAGAGACCAGAGAGAGACCAGAGAGAGAGAGACCAGAGAGAGAGAGACCAGAGAGAAAGCAGAGAGAGAGAGACCAGAGAGAGAGAGACCAGAGAGAAAGCAGAGAGAAAGCAGAGAGAAAGCAGAGAGAGAGCAGAGAGAGAGCAGAGAGAGAGCAGAGAGAAACCAGAGAGAGACCAGAGAGAGACCAGAGAGAGAGAGACCAGAGAGAGACCAGAGAGAGACCAGAGAGAGACCAGAGAGAGAGAGACCAGAGAGAGACGAAAGAGAGACCAGAGAGAGAAACCAAAGCGAGACCAGTGAGAGACCAAAGAGGCCAGAGAGTCTAGAGAGATGTAAAAGTCTCTAACATGTTGTTTTTTTCAGTCTCCTCCTAAAGGCGCCACGATCCCGTACCGTCCCAAACCGGCCTCCGCTCCTGTCATCTTCTCTGGAGGACAGGTGAGACCTTCTAGACCCAGGACTGAGGCTGTAGACCCAGGACTGAGGCTGTAGATGCAAAAATGTGTTTTCTTTTTGTTCCAGGCCTACACCATTCAGGGACAGTACGCATTCCCACACCCAGAGGTAAGAGCAGACCAGCTTTATCACATTTATTTATAAGTATACCATAGAGAGACCAGAGAGAGACCAGAGAGAGACCAGAGAGAGACCAGAGAGAGACCAGAGAGAGACCAGAGAGAGACCAGAGAGAGAGAGATCAGAGAGAGACCAGAGAGAGAGAGACCAGAGAGACCAGAGGGAGACCAGAGAGAGACCAGAGACTGTGTGACCTCACAGTGGTGTTTCCTCAGATCTCCAAGCTCCAGCAGCTGGCTCTGCAGACGTCCTTCAGTCCTGTGGGACAGAGCAGCTTCTCTGGTGCGTACCTCACACACACACACACACACACATCCAGCGTATGTTCAAATCGGCTTTTTCCTTATCCAGGTTTGAAACAGCCTCCGTCTCTATCCCCAGTGTCAGATACAGGGGTGGCAGCATCATGCTGTGGGGCTGCTTTTATTCAGCAGGGACTGAGAAGAGTGTCAGAGATGTAGGAAAGTGGATGACACTGCATTGGACTACTTTAAACATGTGCACGTGTTATTGACCTCTCTGGTCTCTCACTGATCTCTCTAGTCCTCTGGTCTGGTAAGAGAGACTAGAGAGAACAGGGAGAGACCAGAGAGAGACCAGAGAGAGACCAGAGAGAGACCAGAGAGAGACCAGAGAGACCAGAGAGAGACCAGAGAGAGACCAGAGAGAGACTAGAGAGAGACCAGAGAGAGACCAGAGAGACCAGAGAGAGACCAGAGAGAGACCAGAGAGAGACCAGAGAGACCAGAGAGACCAGAGAGAGAACAGAGAGACCAGAGAGAGACCAGAGAGAGACCAGAGAGAGACCAGAGAGAGACCAGAGAGAGACCAGAGAGAGACCAGAGAGAGACCAGAGACCTGAAATGGGTTAAAAACACTGACCGAGTCATTAAGAAAGCTCGTCAGCGTCTCTACTTTCTGCGTAAACTTAGAGAATTTACCACTAACTCTAAGATTCTGCTTAACTTTTATCGCTGCACCATTGAAAGTTTACTTGTTGGTTCTGTGTCTGTGTGGTTTGGAAACATCACAGATAAAGAAAAGAGAGCTTTAAACAAGGTGCTCCGCTCTGCAAAGAGGACCGTGGGCTGTGAGACCAGAGAGAGACCAGAGAGAGACCGGAGAGAGACCGGAGAGAGACCGGAGAGAGACCAGAGAGAGACCAGAGAGAGACCAGAGAGAGGACTGTGGGCTGTGAGCTTCCTGTTCTGGAGGTTCTTTATAAATCCAGACTTTTAAACAAAGCTCTTAGGATTGTTAATGACTCTTCTGGCCACCCTGGGAAAGCCATGTTCCAGCTTCTTCCCTCTGGCAGAAGATATCGCTCTCTGAGATGCAGGACATCTCGTTACGCTAACAGTTTTTATCCACAGGCTGTTATCAGTGTGAACAGAGCACTTTAATGATTTGCACTTGTTTTGAACTGTTTTAGTCGATCCATTTCACAGTGACATTTGTTTACTGTTTTATTTGTTTTATTTTTGTCTTTTAATGTTGTTTTATGTCTGTATTTGTCTGTGCACACTGGAGACTTTTGCTAATGTATTCCAATGTGGTTTTTTTACTGCAAATGGCAAATAATCTGAATCTGAATCTGAGAGCCAGGCTTCTGAAAAGATGAAGGCAGCATGTTGTGTTGTGAAAGTTACGTACCTCAGCTTTAATCCCTCGTCTTCCACAGGTCTGGAGTCTGGCACCAGCACACACGAGCTCAGCATCCCCAACGACGTGAGTGACACGTGTGAAAGTTTAGGCACCCCTGTTCACTAGACTCTCATAATAGAAAATAAATGTATATTTAAACGACCCAAGTGCCTGTAGTTCCCCAGTCCCACCACCAGAGGGAGCTGTTTACTGTCTGTACCTGTTGAGTCTGAAGTCTAAATACATTCCTCATTTGAAGTATATTTATTTCAATTTCAAACATTGCATGCAGCATGCTTACCCACTAGCTCATAGAAGCCCAATAGGGAAGTGCTCAGGGTGAAGTTTGACTCCATATAAAAGTAATCTTCTCGAGCTCAGTAACGTTTGTGTGACATCACCTTTTTGGGCTGAAATCTGTGGTTTAACAGAAAACAATGTCCTCTGCTCTTTGCTCTGTGTTCGTTAAGTTAATTTGCTAATAATTGAGGGTGTGTGTGTGTGTGTGGGTGTGTGTGTATGTGTGGGTGTGTGTGTATTCTCATTTCACACATAATCCACTTAGTCGGATTACTATGTTTTTACCACTCGGCCTTGAATGTTTCACAGTTTGGGATCAAAGGAGACTGGTCTCCCTCTGGTCTCCCTCTGGTCTCCCTCTGGTCTCCCTCTGGTCTCTCTCTGGTCTCTCTCTGGTCTCTCTCTGGTCTCTCTCTAACTGTGCATCTGGCTGTTCCTACACCCGTGAGGAACTTATGAACATCCGACCCACCGTCCCCATGGACCTATTGCCTGTTTTCTTGGCATCTGCGGCTGATTTAGTCCATGTTCTAGCCAAAAAAGTGTGGGCCCGTAAAAGGGGAAAGCGCGGAGGCCTGCTCGTGCGTCTGAGGAGGAGAGGAGCGGGGCTCTCCCCGGCATTTTTCTCTCCAACGTACGCTCACTGGGCAATAAGACAAACTCAGCCTGCTCATGAGAAGAAACAAGGACTTCATCCTGTGTCCTCTGCTTCACTGAGACCTGGCTAAATGAGCGGATCCCGGACTGCGCTCTGGAGCTGCAGGGCTTTGGGCTGTTCCGCGCGGATCGCCATTGTGCGCTCTCAGGGAAGAGCAGAGGCGGTGGGCTGTGTTTCTACGTCAATACAAACTGGTGTAACGATGTGACAGTGATCTCCAAGCACTGCTCTCCTGCTCTGGAATATCTTTTCATTCATTGTAAACCATATTACTCCCCTCGTGAAATTGTTTCATTCATTCTTGCCTCTGTTTACATACCGCCATGCGCGGACGCAGAGCAAGTACTGTGTATGGAACGTTTATAATATTTTAATAAGGGAAACTTGAGCCAGGAATTACCCAAATACAGACAGTTTATCAAATGCCCGACCAGAGAGGAGAACACTCTGGATCACTGCTACACCACCGTGCGCGGAGCTTTTCGCGCTGTTCCCAAGCCAGCCCTCGGCTTCTCAGATCACTCCATGATACATCTGGTTCCTGCTTACAGACTAGGGGTGGGAACCTAAGGGTACCTCACGATACGATACGATACACGATACAAAGCTCACGATAACGATATTATCACGATAACGATATTATCACGATAACGATATTATCACGATAACAATATTATCACGATAACGATATTATCACGATAACGATATTATCACGATAACGATATTATCACGATAACGATATTATCACGATATCACGATATGACGTTTATCGATATATTGGTCAGAAATATAGAATATGCAAATTTATGGCATAAATAAAAGATAAACTACACTTTATTTCATGATAAATGGAATGGAGATGCGTAATGTAGCCATATATTAAGTATTGATACCAATTTTTTTTTTTTAAGATTTTTTTTTTTTTCAAAATCGATATCGATACTTGGCAAATGCATATCGATAATCGAATCGCGGGAGAAAGTATCGCGATATATTGAAAAATCGATATATCGTCACACCCCTATTACAGACAGAGACTAAAGCTCTCGAAACCTGCAGTGAGGAGCTTCAAAGTGTGGTCTGAGGAAGCTGTGGAAGAGCTGCATGCATGGAATCTACAGACTGGGACCTTTTCAGAGCTGCCACAGATAGTTTGGATGAATACACGGACACTGTGACGTCATACATTCACTTCTGCGAGGATAGCATCATTCCAACAAGGACCAGGGTCATCTATAACAACGACAAACCCTGGTTCACTGCTAAACTCCGGCAGCTCAGGAAAGCAAAGGAGTCTGCTTTCAGGGAGGGGGACCGCAGCGGCTACAAAGCAGCTAAATATCAGTTCAGGAGAGAACTGAAAGCAGCCAAGTCCCGGCACAGAGAACGACTACAGGAGCAGTTTGGTAACAACGATACTGCTTCTGTCTGGAGGGGCCTACGGGAGATCACCAACTGCAAACCCAAAGCCCCCCCCTGTGCTGACGACCACAAGCTAGCTGACGATCTGAATTTATTTTTCAGTCGCTTTGATGCTGCCCCTGACACCTCTCCCTCCCCCACCCCCCACTACTCTAACGACCCCCCCATCAGCCCTGCCCCCAGCCTGACAATAGCCTCTAAAGATATTCAACAACTCTTCTTGAGGCTGCACCCCCGCAAAGCTCCTGGCCCGGACCACGTGTCTCCGGCCACTCTGAGACACTGCCCCAGTGAGCTTACTCCTGTGTTCACGGACATTTTCAACACCTCTCTGCAGTCCTGCCATGTCCCGGCCTGCTTCAAATCCTCCATCATTGTCCCCGTCCCGAAGAAGCCCAGGATCACAGGACTCAACGACTACAGACCTGTAGCACTTACGTCTGTCGTCATGAAGTCATTTGAACGCCTGGTTCTCTCCCATCTCAAGTCCCTCACCTCCCCCCTCCTGGACCCCCTGCAGTTCGCCTACAGAGCCAACAGATCTGTATGCAGATGGGAAAGGAAGAAACCAACACAACAAAAGACACTTGAGACATTAGCATCCTCAAAACCTGCTTCCTCCTGGCATCTGCATACAACCCCCAAGCACTCTGAAGTCAACAGTGGATTACAATACAGACAGTATAGAATTCAGCCACAAATGATTTAGCAAAATGATAACTAAAGTTACATTCCAATATCATTCCAAGACACTTAGCATATGAGCTCCCCAGACCTCCCGGTGTCTTCCTGAAGCTAAAGTGAATTACAATACAGAGCATTCAGCATATAGCCACATATGATTTACCAAAATGATAACTTAAATTACATTCCAATATCAATCTCCAACAACGATGAGTCCGCCTACAGGAGGGAGGTGGACCGGCTGGTGTCCTGGTGCAGTGGTAACAACCTGGAGCTGAACGCCCAGAAGACAGTGGAGATGATTGTGGACTTCAGGAAGAGCACTGTCCCCCCGCCCCCACCCTCCGTGATGGACTCCCCCATCACCTCTGTGGAGTCCTTCCGTTTCCTGGGCACCACCATCACCCAGGACCTCAAGTGGGAGCCGACCATCAGCTCCTCATCAAGAAGGCCCAGCAGAGGATGTACTTCCTGCGGCAGCTCAGGAAAGCCAAGCTGCAGTTCTACACGGCCATCATCGAGTCCATCCTCACCTCCTCCATCACCTCCTCCATCACCTCCTCCATCACCTCCTCCATCACCTCATCACCTCCTCCATCACCTCCCCCATCACCTCCCCCATCATCTCCTCATCACCTCCTCCATCACCTCCTCCATCACCTCCACCATCACCTCCACCATCACCTCCTCCACCACCTCCTCCATCACCTCCTCCATCACCTCCTCCATCACCTTCTCCATCACCTCCTCCATCACCTCCTCCATCACCTTCTCCATCACCTCCTCCATCACCTTCTCCATCACCTCCTCCATCACCTCCTCCATCACCTCCTCCATCACCTCCTCCGTCACCGTGTGGTTCGCTGGAGCCACAGTCAGGGACAAACAGAGACTACAGTGCATTGTGCGCTCTGCAGAGGAAGTGATCGGCCGCAGCCTTCCATCGCTGCAGGACCTGTACGTCGCCCGAGCTCGAGGCCGGGCTGGTCGTATCACAGCCGACCCCTCTCACCTGCACATGGACTATTCCAACCACTCCCCTCAGGCAGGAGACTGCGGTCCATCAGGACTAGAACCTCCCGCCACAAGAACAGTTTCTTCCCCTCTGCTGTTGGACTCTTGAACACTTCTTAACCTGTCCCCCCGCCCTTTATAAAGTCACTTTACTTCACTGTACTGCTGTCACCTTACATGGTGTGTACCATGTGCACTTGTATATTGTAAATAGTAACTGTAACTCTATTTTAAATTTACATTTATTCCTTAGAAGTGTTTTTTTATTCTTTATTTTTATTGTCTCTCTGACTATTGCACTGAGCCAAAGCAATTTCCAGGTCTGTGACTTCCTGTTACTTACATGGCAATAAAAATGATTCTGATTTTGATTCTCTCTGGTCTCTCTCTGGTCTCTCTGGTATTTCTCTGGTATTTCTCTGGTCTCTCTCTGGTCTCTCTCTGGTCTCCCTCTGGCCTCTCATTGGTCTCATGTTGCTCTGACCTCACTGTCGCCCCCTACAGTTGATCGGTTGTATCATCGGTCGTCAGGGCTCCAAGATCAACGAGATCCGTCAGATGTCGGGAGCTCAGATCAGGATCACGAACGCTCTGGAGGGGTCGAGCGAGAGGCAGATCTGCATCACCGGGAGTCCAGCCAACATCAGCCTGGCCCAGTACCTCATCAACGCACGGTGAGAGCGCAGTAAAGCTGGGGGACCTGACTTTCAACACACAACTCTGAGACTGGGGTAAAATACATGTGTCTAGTTACAGTAGAGATCAGGAGAGAGGAGAGAGTACAGAGGAGAGAGAAGAGAGTATAATAGAGAGGAGAGAGTACAGAGGAGAATACAGAGGGGAGAGAGGAGAGAGTACAGAGGAGAGTACAGAGGGGAGAGAAGAGAGTAGAGAGAGTACAGAGGAGAGTACAGAGGGGAGAGAGGGGAGAGAAGAGAGTAGAGAGAGTACAGAGGAGAGAGACCAGAGGAGAGTACAGAGGAGAGAGACCAGAGAGAAGAGAGTAGAATAGAGAGGAGAGAGTACAGAGGAGAATACAGAGGAGAGTACAGAGGGGAGAGAGTACAGAGGAGAATACAGAGGAGAGAGTACAGAGGAGAGTACAGAGGGGAGAGAACAGAGGAGAGAGAAGAGAGTAGAATAGAGAGGAGAGAGTACAGAGGAGAGTACAGAGGAGAGAGTACAGAGGAGCGAGAGGACAGAGTACAGAGGGGAGAGAAGAGAGGAGAGAGTACAGAGGAGAGAGTACAGAGGAGAGAGAAGAGGAAGGAGGAGACAGTAAAGAGGGGAGAGGGGAGAATAGAGAGTAGAAAGGAGAGAGAAGAGAGTAGCTCTTCAGTGCGTCTCAGCAGCCGCTCTGAGGACACAGGTTGATAATGAGAGAGTTTGTGAATAATGGTATTTTTAAATGTCTTTGTGACGACGTCTGGAGGAGAGAGCAGATAAACAGGTCATTACAACCATATGGGGTCTAACAGGACTAAAGCAGGACTAACAGGACTAAAACAGGATTAATGCAGGACTAAAGCAGGATTAAAACAGGATTAATGCAGGACTAAAGCAGGACAAAAGCAGGTCTAAAACAGGACTGTAGCAGGTCTAAAAGAGGTCTAAAGCGGGTCTAGGGCAGGTCTAAAACAGGATTAAAGCAGGATTAAAGCAGGTCTAAAGCAGGTCTAAAGCAGGTCTAATGCAGGTCTAAAGCAGGACTAAAGCAGGTCTGAAGCAGGACTAAAGCAGGACTAAAGCAGGTCTAAAACAGGATTAAAGCAGGATTAAAGCAGGACTAAAGCAGGTCTAAAGCAGGTCTAAAGCAGAACTAAAGCAGGTCTGAAGCAGGTCTAAAGCAGGTCTAAAGCAGGTCTGAAGCAGGTCTAAAGCAGGTCAAAAGCAGGAGTAAAGCAGGTCTAAAGCAGAACTAAAGCAGGTCTAAAGCAGGAGTAAAGCAGGTCTGAAGCAGGTCTAAAGCAGGTCTAAAGCAGGTCTAAAGCAGTTGAGCACTCTATACAGATGGACTGCTAATGCACAAGCTCATGGAGGCTCAATGGAGAAGTGCTCATGGTGAAGTTTTGCTCCATTATCTTTATATGGCCAGATATGAGCTGCATAAGGATGGGCCAATCAAAGGCCTGGATGCCCTCCTCCACAGCCCTCCTCCACAGGACAGTCTCTGGTCTTAAACCAGATGTGTCAGTATCTGGTGCCTCAGCGACAGGAGGTTGTGGGAGTGATTCCTCGGATCTGTCTTTGCTGCATCAGTTTTTCTTTCTCTGCATAAATCTGCAACAGCGAAGGATTTAAGTTGTTTATGTCGAGAAACGGGTTCTGTCCACCTCTGCCGCTTCTAATCCCTGTGTGTGAGGCCTTTATCAACTGTCACTGATGTACACACACAGACACACACACACACACACATACACACACACACACACACACAGACACACACACACACATACACAGACACAGACACACACATACGCACACACAGACACAGACACACACATACGCACACACACACACACACAGACACAGACACACACATACGCACACACACACACAGACACACACAGACACACACACACACACACATACACACACACACACAGACACACACACACACACACATACACACACACACACACACACACACAGACACACACACACACACACACACACACACACAGAGGTGCTGGCGTTTGTGGGAGCAGAGAAAGGGTAAGTTCTGATCCTCAGAGGAGCGAGCTCTAAATCAAAGTCTCTGGATTTCAAACCACAGCAGCTTTTTTAAAGACAAGATTTTCTCTAAATGGACTTTTCTGAAAAGCTCGGGTCTGTAACTTTCAGACTGCAACAATAGATATAAACACCAAATGAACTTTTTTTTAACTCATGAACTGGTCATTATTTTTGACATTTTAGTGCAAATTAGATCAAATCTCACTTTAAAGCTTAAAACCGTCTGTGGCTGTCACGATTAAACAGAACCCAAAACTAGACACAGATCAGCGAGAATTGGCAATGTAGCACGTGATGTGGACAGAGGCAGAGGCAGGCAGGGCAGAGGCAGGCGGCCAAAGGCAGGCAGGGCAGAGGCAGGGGGCAGAGGCAGGCGGGCAGAGGCAGGCGGGCAGAGGCAGGCAGGGCAGAGGCAGGCGGGCAGAGGCAGGCGGGCAGAGGCAGGCGGGCAGAGGCAGGCGGGCAGAGGCAGGCGGGCAGAGGCAGGCAGGGCAGAGGCAGGCAGGCAGAGGCAGGCGGGCAGAGGCAGGCAGGGCAGAGGCAGGCAGGGCAGAGGCAGGCAGGCAGAGGCAGGCAGGGCAGAGGCAGGCGGGCGGAGGCAGGCGGGCGGAGGCAGGCAGGGCAGAGGCAGGCGGGCGGAGGCAGGCAGGGCAGAGGCAGGCAGGGCAGAGGCAGGCGGCCAAAGGCAGGCAGGGCAGAGGCAGGCGGGCAGAGGCAGGCGGGCAGAGGCAGGCGGGCAGAGGCAGGCAGGGCAGAGGCAGGCGGGCAGAGGCAGGCGGGGCAGAGGCAGGCGGGCAGAGGCAGGCGGGCAGAGGCAGGCGGGCAGAGGCAGGCAGGGCAGAGGCAGGCAGGCAGAGGCAGGCGGGCAGAGGCAGGCAGGGCAGAGGCAGGCAGGGCAGAGGCAGGCAGGCAGAGGCAGGCAGGGCAGAGGCAGGCGGGCGGAGGCAGGCGGGCGGAGGCAGGCAGGGCAGAGGCAGGCGGGCGGAGGCAGGCAGGGCAGAGGCAGGCAGGGCAGAGGCAGGCGGGCAGAGGCAGGCAGGGCAGAGGCAGGCAGGGCAGAGGCAGGCAGGGCAGAGGCAGGCGGGCAGTGGCAGGCAGGCAGAGGCAGGCAGGGCAGAGGCAGGCGGGCGGAGGCAGGCGGGCGGAGGCAGGCGGGCGGAGGCAGGCGGGCGGAGGCAGGCGGGCAGAGGCAGGCGGGCAGAGGCAGGCAGGGCAGAGGCAGGCAGGGCAGAGGCAGGCAGGGCAGAGGCAGGCAGGGCAGAGGCAGGCGGGCAGGGCAGAGGCAGGCGGGCGGAGGCAGGCGGGCGGAGGCAGGCAGGCAGAGGCAGGCAGGGCAGAGGCAGGCGGGCAGAGGCAGGCGGGCAGAGGCAGGCGGGCAGTGGCAGGTGGACAACAAACTGGCATCGACTTGCTGGGAATGAGGCTTCTTATGCAGCTGGAGATGAGTGGCAAGTGGAGCTAGGTGTGTAGCCACGCCCAGGAAGGTGGAGACAAGACAAACAGGGGAGGGAGAGAGACAGCAGGGAGCAGATCCTGACAGTGGCGCCCTCTCTACCGTTTTTGTGGCACTACATTTGAATTTGGTCCTGGTCTCTCATTGGCTCTGGAGTGATGTGTGACGTCAGGTGGTGTGTGTGTGACGTTAGTTGGTGTGTGTGACGTCAGTTGGTGTGTGTGACGTCAGTTGGTGTGTGTGACGTCAATTGGTGTTTGTGACGTCAGTTGGTGTGTGTGACGTCAGTTGGTATGCGTGACGTCAGTTGGTGTGTGTGTGACGTCAGTTGGTGTGCGTGACGTCAGTTTGTGTGTGTTACGTCAGTTGGTGTTTGTGACGTCAGTTGGTATGCGTGACGTCAGTTAGTGTGTGTGACGTCAGTTGGTGTGTGTGACGTCAATTGGTGTGCGTGACGTCAGTTGGTGTGTGTGTGACGTCAGTTGGTGTGTGTGACGTCAATTGGTGTGTGTGACGTCAGTTGGTGTGTGTGACGTCAGTTGGTGTGTGTGACGTCAATTGGTGTTTGTGACGTCAGTTGGTGTGTGTGACGTCAGTTGGTATGCGTGACGTCAGTTGGTGTGTGTGTGACGTCAGTTGGTGTGTGTGACGTCAATTGGTGTGTGTGACGTCAGTTGGTGTGTGTGACGTCAGTTGGTGTGTGTGACGTCAATTGGTGTGTGTGACGTCAGTTGGTGTGTGTGACGTCAATTGGTGTGTGTGACGTCAGTTGGTGTGTGTGACGTCAATTGGTGTGTGTGACGTCAGTTGGTGTGTGTGACGTCAGTTGGTGTGTGTGACGTCAATTGGTGTTTGTGACGTCAGTTGGTGTGTGTGACGTCAGTTGGTATGCGTGACGTCAGTTGGTGTGTGTGACGTCAGTTGGTGTGTGTGACGTCAATTGGTGTGTGTGACGTCAGTTGGTGTGTGTGACGTCAGTTGGTGTGTGTGACGTCAATTGGTGTTTGTGACGTCAGTTGGTGTGTGTGACGTCAGTTGGTATGCGTGACGTCAGTTGGTGTGTGTGTGACGTCAGTTGGTGTGCGTGACGTCAGTTTGTGTGTGTTACGTCAGTTGGTGTTTGTGACGTCAGTTGGTATGCGTGACGTCAGTTAGTGTGTGTGACGTCAGTTTGGTGTGTGTGACGTCAATTGGTGTGCGTGACGTCAGTTGGTGTGTGTGTGACGTCAGTTGGTGTGTGTGACGTCAATTTGGTGTGTGTGACGTCAGTTGGTGTGTGTGACGTCAGTTGGTGTGTGTGACGTCAATTGGTGTTTGTGACGTCAGTTGGTGTGTGTGACGTCAGTTGGTATGCGTGACGTCAGTTGGTGTGTGTGTGACGTCAGTTGGTGTGTGTGACGTCAATTGGTGTGTGTGACGTCAGTTGTGTGTGTGTGACGTCAGTTGGTGTGTGTGACGTCAATTGGTGTTTGTGACGTCAGTTGGTATGCGTGACGTCAGTTGGTATGCATGACGTCAGTTGGTGTGTGTGACGTCAGTTGGTGTGTGTGACGTCAATTGTGTGTGTGTGACGTCAGTTGGTGTGTGTGACGTCAATTGGTGTGTGTGACGTCAGTTGGTGTGTGTGACGTCAGTTGGTGTGTGTGACGTCAATTGGTGTTTGTGACGTCAGTTGGTGTGTGTGACGTCAGTTGGTATGCGTGACGTCAGTTGGTGTGTGTGACGTCAGTTGGTGTGTGTGACGTCAATTGGTGTTTGTGACGTCAGTTGGTGTGTGTGACGTCAGTTGGTATGCGTGACGTCAGTTGGTGTGTGTGACGTCAGTTGGTGTGCGTGACGTCAATTGGTGTGCGTGACGTCAGTTGGTGTGCGTGACGTCAGTTGGTGTGCGTGACGTCAGTTGGTGTGCGTGACGTCAGTTGGTGTGTGTGACGTCAGTTGGTGTGTGTGACGTCAGTTGGTGTGCGTGACGTCAGTTGGTGTGCGTGACGTCAGTTGGTGTGTGTGACGTCAGTTGGTGTGTGTGACGTCAGTTGGTGTGTGTGACGTCAATTGGTGTTTGTGACGTCAGTTGGTGTGTGTGACGTCAGTTGGTATGCGTGACGTCAGTTGGTGTGTGTGACGTCAGTTGGTGTGCGTGACGTCAATTGGTGTGCGTGACGTCAGTTGGTGTGCGTGACGTCAGTTGGTGTGCGTGACGTCAGTTGGTGTGCGTGACGTCAGTTGGTGTGTGTGACGTCAGTTGGTGTGTGTGACGTCAGTTGGTGTGCGTGACGTCAGTTGGTGTGCGTGACGTCAGTTGGTGTGTGTGTGACGTCAGTTGGTGTGCGTGACGTCAGTTGGTGTGCGTGACGTCAGTTGGTGTGTGTGACGTCAGTTGGTGTGTGTGACGTCAGTTGGTGTGTCTGACGTCAGTTGGTGGTGTGTGACGTCAGTTGGTGTGTGTGACGTCAGTTGGTGTTTGTGACGTCAGTTGGTGTGCGTGACGTCAGTTGGTGTGCGTGACGTCAGTTGGTGTGCGTGACGTCAGTTGGTGTGCGTGACGTCAGTTGGTGTGTGCGTGACGTCAGTTGGTGTGTGTGTGACGTCAGTTGGTGTGTGTGACGTCAGTTGGTGTGTGTGACGTCAGTTGGTGTGTGTGACGTCAGTTGGTGTGTGTGACGTCAATTGGTGTTTGTGACGTCAGTTGGTGTGCGTGACGTCAGTTGGTGTGCGTGACGTCAGTTGGTGTGCGTGACGTCAGTTGGTGTGTGCGTGACGTCAGTTGGTGTGTGTGACGTCAGTTGGTGTGTGTGACGTCAGTTGGTGTGTGTTTGACTTCAGTTGGTATGCGTGACGTCAGTTGGTGTGTGTTTGACGTCAGTTGGTGTGTGTGACGTCAGTTGGTGTGTGTGTGACGTCAGTTGGTGTGTGTGACGTCAATTGGTGTGTGTGACGTCAGTTGGTGTGTGTGACGTCAGTTGGTGTGTGTGACGTCAATTGGTGTTTGTGACGGTCAGTTGGTATGCGTGACGTCAGTTGGTATGCGTGACGTCAGTTGGTGTGTGTGACGTCAGTGTGGTGTGTGTGACGTCAATTGGTTGTGTGTGACGTCAGTTGGTGTGTGTGACGTCATTTGGTGTGTGTGACGTCAGTTGGTGTGTGTGACGTCAGGTGTGTGTGTGACGTCAGTTGGGTGTGTGTGACGTCAGTTGGTGTGTGTGACGTCATTGGTGTTGGTGACGTCAGTTGGTGTGTGTGACGTCAGTTGGTATGCGTGACGTCAGTTGGTTGTGTGTGTGTGACGTCAGTGTGTGTGGTCAGTTGGTGTGTGTGACGTCAATTGGTGTTTGTGACGTCAGTTGGTGTGTGTGACGTCAGTTGGTATGCGTGACGTCAGTTGGTGTGTGTGACGTCAGTTGGTGTGCGTGACGTCAATTGGTGTGCGTGACGTCAGTTGGTGTGCGTGACGTCAGTTGGTGTGCGTGACGTCAGTTGGTGTGCGTGACGTCAGTTGGTGTGTGTGACGTCAGTTGGTGTGTGTGACGTCAGTTGGTGTGCGTGACGTCAGTTGGTGTGCGTGACGTCAGTTGGTGTGTGTGACGTCAGTTGGTGTGTGTGACGTCAGTTGGTGTGTGTGACGTCAATTGGTGTTTGTGACGTCAGTTGGTGTGTGTGACGTCAGTTGGTATGCGTGACGTCAGTTGGTGTGTGTGACGTCAGTTGGTGTGCGTGACGTCAATTGGTGTGCGTGACGTCAGTTGGTGTGCGTGACGTCAGTTGGTGTGCGTGACGTCAGTTGGTGTGCGTGACGTCAGTTGGTGTGTGTGACGTCAGTTGGTGTGTGTGACGTCAGTTGGTGTGCGTGACGTCAGTTGGTGTGCGTGACGTCAGTTGGTGTGTGTGTGACGTCAGTTGGTGTGCGTGACGTCAGTTGGTGTGCGTGACGTCAGTTGGTGTGTGTGACGTCAGTTGGTGTGTGTGACGTCAGTTGGTGTGTCTGACGTCAGTTGGTGTGTGTGACGTCAGTTGGTGTGTGTGACGTCAGTTGGTGTTTGTGACGTCAGTTGGTGTGCGTGACGTCAGTTGGTGTGCGTGACGTCAGTTGGTGTGCGTGACGTCAGTTGGTGTGCGTGACGTCAGTTGGTGTGTGCGTGACGTCAGTTGGTGTGTGTGTGACGTCAGTTGGTGTGTGTGACGTCAGTTGGTGTGTGTGACGTCAGTTGGTGTGTGTGACGTCAGTTGGTGTGTGTGACGTCAATTGGTGTTTGTGACGTCAGTTGGTGTGCGTGACGTCAGTTGGTGTGCGTGACGTCAGTTGGTGTGCGTGACGTCAGTTGGTGTGTGCGTGACGTCAGTTGGTGTGTGTGACGTCAGTTGGTGTGTGTGACGTCAGTTGGTGTGTGTTTGACTTCAGTTGGTATGCGTGACGTCAGTTGGTGTGTGTTTGACGTCAGTTGGTGTGTGTGACGTCAGTTGGTGTGTGTGTGACGTCAGTTGGTGTGTTTGACGTCAGTTGGTATGCGTGTGACGTCAGTTGGTATGCGTGATGTCAGTTGGTGTGTGTGACGTCAGTTGGTGTGTGTGACGTCAGTTGGTGTGTGTGACGTCAGTTGGTGTGTGTTTGACGTCAGTTGGTGTGTGTTTGACGTCAGTTGGTGTGTGTTTGACGTCAGTTGGTATGCGTGACGTCAGTTGGTGTGACGTCAGTTGGTGTGTGTTTGACGTCAGTTGGTGTGTGTTTGACGACAGTTGGTGTGTGTTTGACGTCAGTTGGTGTGTGTTTGACGTCAGTTGGTGTGTGTATGACGTCAGTTGGTGTGTGTTTGACGTCAGTTGGTGTGTGTGACGTCAGTTGGTGTGTGTTTGACGTCAGTTGGTGTGTGTTCGACGTCAGTTGGTGTGTGTTTGACGTCAGTTGGTGTGTGTTTGACGTCAGTTGGTGTGTGTTTGACGTCAGTTGGTGTGTGTTTGACGTCAGTTGGTGTGTGTGACGTCAGTTGGTGTGTGTTTGACGTCAGTTGGTGTGTGTGACGTCAGTTGGTGTGTGTTTGACGTCAGTTGGTATGCGTGACGTCAGTTGGTATGCGTGACGTCAGTTGGTGTGTGTTTGACGTCAGTTGGTGTGTTTGACGTCAGTTGGTGTGTGTTTGACGTCAGTTGGTGTGTGTTTGACATCAGTTGGTGTGTGTTTGACGTCAGTTGATGTGTGTTTGACGTCAGTTGGTGTGTGTTTGACGTCAGTTGGTGTGTGTTTGACATCAGTTGGTGTGTGTTTGACATCAGTTGGTGTGTGTTTGACGTCAGTTGGTATGCGTGACGTCAGTTGGTGTGTGTTTGACGTCAGTTGGTGTGTGTGACGTCAGTTGGTATGCGTGACGTCAGTTGGTGTGTGTTTGACGTCAGTTGGTGTGTGTTTGACATCAGTTGGTATGCGTGACGTCAGTTGGTGTGTGTTTGACGTCAGTTGGTGTGTGTTTGACGTCAGTTGGTGTGTGTTTGACGTCAGTTGGTGTGTGTGACGTCAGTTGGTGTGTGTTGACGTCAGTTGGTGTGTGTGACGTCAGTTGGTGTGCGTGACGTCAGTTGGTGTGTGTGTGTGACGTCAGTTTGGTGTGCGTGACGTCAGTTGGTGTGTGTGACGTCAGTTGGTGTGTGTTTGACGTCAGTTGGTGTGTGTTTGACGTCAGTTGGTGTGTGTTTGACGACAGTTGGTGTGTGTGACGTCAGTTGGTATGCGTGACGTCAGTTGGTGTGTGTTTGACATCAGTTGGTGTGTGTGACGTCAGTTGGTATGCGTGACGTCAGTTGGTGTGTGTGTGACGTCAGTTGGTGTGCGTGACGTCAGTTGGTGTGTGTGACGTCAGTTGGTGTGTGTGACGTCAGTTGGTGTGTGTGACGTCAGTTGGTGTGTGTGACGTCAGTTGGTGTGTGTTGACGTCAGTTGGTGTGTGTTGACGTCAGTTGGTGTGTGTGACGTCAGTTGGTGTGTGTGACGTCAGTTGGTGTGTGTGACGTCAGTTGGTGTGTGTGACGTCAGTTGGTGTGTGTTTGACGTCAGTTGGTGTGTGTGACGTCAGTGGTGGTGTGTGTGACGTCAGTTGGTGTGTGTGACGTCAGTTGGTGTGTGTGACGTCAGTTGGTGTGTGTGACGTCAGTTGTGTGTGTGTGACGTCAGTTGGTGTGTGTGACGTCAGTTGGTGTGTGTGACGTCAGTTGGTGTGTGTGACGTCAGTTGGTGTGTGTGACGTCAGTTGGTTGTGTTGTGACGTCAGTTGGTGTGTGTGACGTCAGTTGGTGTGTGTGACGTCAGTTGGTATGTGTGACGTCAGTTGGTGTGTGTGACGTCAGTTGGTGTGTGTGACGTCAGTTGGTGTGCGTGACGTCAGTTGGTGTGCGTGACGTCAGTTGGTGTGTGCGTGACGTCAGTTGGTGTGCGTGACGTCAGTTGGTGTGTGTGACGTCAGTTGGTGTGTGTGACGTCAGTTGGTGTGTGACGTCAGTTGGTGTGTGTGACGTCAGTTGGTGTGTGTGACGTCAGTTGGTGTGTGTGACGTCAGTTGGTGTGTGTGACGTCAGTTGGTGTGTGTGACGTCAGTTGGTGTGTGTGACGTCAGTTGGTGTGTGTGACGTCAGTTGGTGTGTGTGACGTCAGTTGGTGTGTGTGACGTCAGTTGGTGTGTGTGACGTCAGTTGGTGTGTGTGACGTCAGTTGGTGTGTGTGACGTCAGTTGGTGTGTGTGACGTCAGTTGGTGTGTGTGTGACGTCAGTTGGTGTGTGTGACGTCAGTTGGTGTGTGTGACGTCAGTTGGTGTGTGTGACGTCAGTTGGTGTGTGTGTGACGTCAGTTGGTGTGTGTGACGTCAGTTGGTGTGTGTGTCGTCAGTTGGTGTGTGTGACGTCAGTTGGTATGTGTGACGTCAGTTTGTGTGCGTGACGTCAGTTGTGTGTGCGTGACGTCAGTTGGTGTGCGTGAAGTCAGTTGGTGTGCGTGACGTCAGTTGGTATGTGTGACGTCAGTTGGTGTGTGACGTCAGTTGGTGTGTGTGACGTCAGTTGGTGTGTGTGACGTCAGTTGGTGTGTGTGTGACGTCAGTTGGTGTGTGTGACGTCAGTTGGTGTGTGTGACGTCAGTTGGTGTGTGTGACGTCAGTTGGTGTGTGTGACGTCAGTTGGTGTGTGTGACGTCAGTTGGTGTGTGTTGCAGTTGGTGTGTGTGACGTCAGTTGGTGTGTGTGTGACGTCAGTTGGTATGTGTGACGTCAGTTGGTGTGTGTGACGTCAGTTGGTGTGTGTGACGTCAGTTGGTGTGTGACGTCAGTTGGTGTGTGTGACGTCAGTTGGTGTGCGTGACGTCAGTTGGTATGTGTGACGTCAGTTGGGTGTGTGACGTCAGTTGGTGTGTGTGACGTCAGTTGGTGTGTGTGACGTCAGTTGGTGTGTGTGACGTCAGTTGGTGTGTGTGACGTCAGTTGGTGTGTGTGACGTCAGTTGGTGTGTGTGACGTCAGTTGGTGTGTGTGACGTCAGTTGGTGTGTGTGACGTCAGTTGGTGTGTGTGACGTCAGTTGGTGTGTGTGACGTCAGTTGGTGTGTGTTGCAGTTGGTGTGTGTGACGTCAGTTGGTGTGTGTGACGTCAGTTGGTATGTGTGACGTCAGTTGGTGTGTGTGACGTCAGTTGGTGTGTGTGACGTCAGTTGGTATGCGTGACGTCAGTTTGTGTGCGTGACGTCAGTTGGTGTGCGTGACGTCAGTTGGTGTGCGTGAAGTCAGTTGGTGTGTGTGACGTCAGTTGGTATGTGTGACGTCAGTTGGTGTGTGACGTCAGTTGGTGTGTGTGACGTCAGTTGGTGTGTGTGACGTCAGTTGGTGTGTGTGACGTCAGTTGGTGTGTGTGACGTCAGTTGGTGTGTGTGACGTCAGTTGGTGTGTGTGACGTCAGTTGGTGTGTGTGACGTCAGTTGGTGTGTGTGACGTCAGTTGGTGTGTGTGACGTCAGTTGGTGTGTGACGTCAGTTGGTGTGTGTGACGTCAGTTGGTGTGTGTGACGTCAGTTGGTGTGTGTGACGTCAGTTGGTGTGTGTGACGTCAGTTGGTGTGTGTGACGTCAGTTGGTGTGTGTGACGTCAGTTGGTGTGTGTGACGTCAGTTGGTGTGTGTGACGTCAGTTGGTGTGTGTGACGTCAGTTGGTGTGTGTGACGTCAGTTGGTGTGTGTGACGTCAGTTGGTGTGTGTGACGTCAGTTGGTGTGTGTGACGTCAGTTGGTATGTGTGACGTCAGTTTGTGTGCGTGACGTCAGTTGGTGTGCGTGACGTCAGTTGGTGTGCGTGAAGTCAGTTGGTGTGTGTGACGTCAGTTGGTATGTGTGACGTCAGTTGGTGTGTGTGACGTCAGTTGGTGTGTGTGTGTGACGTCAGTTGGTGTGTGTGACGTCAGTTGGTGTGTGTGATGTGTGAGGTCAGTTGGTGTGTGTGTGTCAGTTGGTGTGTGTGACGTGCGTCTGTCTGCCCAGTGATATAAACCCCTGCAACTCTCACACACGCCCCAGCAGCAGGTTGGAGTATTTTGGCGACATCTAGTGGATTAAATTAAATTGCATGAGTTGAAGCCACTGCTGCTGAGATAAATCAGTGGATTAGGTTCAGGTGTGTAGCTCTACAATTATCAAGTGTGTAAACAAAGTAATGAGACTTTCTGGTGTGTAAACTATTGCTTTAAGCAGCAATGACAACTGTCTGTGTGACAAGTGAGCTGTCAATCACAGCCCAGACCACGCCCACCTCTAAGCCCCCCTTCTTTTCCCTTGGTCCTCCAGGCGACGCCTTTTTAAGAGAAAGACAAGTATTATTTGACAACCTGTATTTGGCCCACAGTGAGGAAATGTTTATGTACTGGATAGATTCTTGTCTTTGGTGGTTTGAAAGTTAACCACACAACACCTGTTTTTTGTTTAACTTTTATGCCTCCAAAATATTGAACATAAACAAGACAAGTTGTCCATAAGCTATAATTTCTATGGTAAAGCATGTTTAGCTAGCAGCTGTTTTGGTCACCTTCTCGCCTTTGTCGAAACGCTTAAAACACACACCTGAACGACTTGTGTTTTGTAAAAATCATACTGTATTTGCGGCTCTATGGAGGTGTTGACTTTAAACACACATGCGCTCTCTGCTGCGGCTGTATATTCTGGAGGTGCAAACCAATTATGCCTAAGTTCGCCTTCCTTTGTGATGCTAAAAGTAGAGTTTACAGAATGCATTCAGACGGGTGGCTAAGTCAAGTGTTCTTTTGGGTTTTACAGCTGCTAGCGTTGCCACCGCTGCAACAAGAGCAGAGCACACTCCATTGTCATTATAATTTTACCCATTTGAGGTTTCCATGGTGAAGCTGCACACAGACATTCTCAGGCCTCATGAATGTGTAATTTGGATTGAGCTAAAGTCGGGGTGACGCTGAGAGACAGCGAACATTAAAGTGTTGAGAGAACGGACGCTTCCAAATGGCCGCATAAGCACAACGCAAGGCTTCCCATGGCGTGCAAATATGTTGTGATTAAAACTACATTACCGTCTCTTTTATACTTTTACTTACAGCTTCAATGGCAGAGGTGGAAAAGATAAACGTTTGAGGTATTTGGGTTAAAATAAATGACGCTGGAATGTTGTTTAAGTTATCATTTTAATACGTCATAATGTGGCTTATACTGGAGCTACTGCGGCTGTGTTGTAAGTCCTGTTGGTCGCGGCCAGTCCGAGCGAGGCGGGTTGTATGCAGATGGACCCGGGCTAGGCCTTGTAAGAACGCCATTGTTTTTTTTACTTCTCCGCCACTTCGTCCTGTCCTGTTTGACATGCTGAATACCAAAGGTCTCATTTTATAACTGTACGTATGTGGGTGGGCTGGACTCACTGCTGTGTCTCTGATAAAAATGCAAATGAGGTCTTTTTGTGCATGTGATTTTGTCCAGGTTCAACTGTAGTGATAACAGCATTAACAATAAAGAAAGAAAAATCGACTCTGGGATTAGTCATTCTGCTTATACCTTTTTCTTTTTACTTAAGTGTTCTTTGTAGTCAGAGGAGATTGGGAACTTTGTGTGTAAAACAGAGAGGCTGCAGCTCGAGTCCTGACTAGAGCCAGTCCGCAAATACCATCTCATTAGTCCTGGTCTCAAGTCTCTGCTTCCTGGGGCTCAGAACATGGACTTCAAATCTGCTTTTCTTGTTCAAGTCTCTCCATAGCCTCGCACCAACGTACACTAGTGATATGTTAGTACCACATGAACCAACTGGGACTGAGGAGCACAGGGACTGGTCTCGTGCTACACCACCTCTGCAGCTGTGACCTGAAGTGATATTTATATATTGTTAGTAGAAGTATATATCCGTCTGTCTAAAGCCTGCTTAACCAGAGATACAATAAAGAGGGCAGTAAGACATACAAGTCCATGATAAAGTTGTAATCCACTTCTCCATCACAATGTAATTACTAACTCGCACGATTGACACTGACATTTGTTAATTCATCATTTCCTCGCTGTGAAATAATTTGTTTTTGTTTGCGACCGTGTGAGTACTTGACGGTGGGGATTGTAGCATGACATGTCTGATAACACAAACATTTACGCAATCCTTAAAAAAAGGCCTTTCTTTCTCCAGCGTTCCCATGCCAGCCTGAGTGAAAGCGCTTCCACGGCTCTCGCCTCGCACAT